CAGGAGACCTAGTATCTGATGTTCATTGGGTCTGCAGGCACCGGTCAACAATTTATCCCCACATCCTTGGGAGAAACAATTAGAAATCAAAACTTTACGATAGGAAAATAAGAAGAGAACAAATCTGTGTTTATATTGATTATCAGATTTGTTGTTTCCAACAGGGAACTTATGTTGACGTCTGAGTTTATTTGTTAGTTAGCGCAATAACTCAAAAACAGATTTCCATACCCAAGGAGGGACCCATTACATTTTCCCCCACACTTCAACACTGTGAGATTTTTCAGTGTTTCTCAGAGAATAATTCATGAATCTTTGAGAAGCTGAATTCACTGATTATACCTTCTTTAATGGCAAATGTACTTTAATTACCTCGGCCAGGGAGGTCATGTTTTCATCCCTGTCTGCTTGGTATATTGTAGCTTGGGACTGATATACAGTATATGAGAAGATCCAAATAAAATGAATGAAGTGAATTTAAACATGGTTTCATAAGGGAACTGTTGGGCCTTGGCTGAGGTATACACTTCACTCAGTGCCATTGTGGTGGGCAATTCATTTCCTGGGTAAAAAGTATATTTTTTTACCTCCTGTAAAAAAAAATTGATTGGTGCTGGATCAACAAAATATTATAGAAACCCGCAGACCTAAAAAGATCTCGCTAAAACGATTTATTTGCCTTAGTGATGTTTCGAGCACTATAGCTATTCATTTACTGGGGACAGAAAATTCAAAGATCAAATTATTTCAAAACTTATCACTATTCAAAAGGGAAAAAAACTGCAGCTGTCAACACTGTTAATCTTGCACGGGGACTTTTTACACCAAACTCTCAGCCTGACAAGAGCGTCACATTTCAGGTGTCAAGAAAAATGGCCAAACTCTCGAGAGAAGCCGCTGCCCTCTCTCTCTCTCTCTCTCTCTCCACCATCTTCAAGCTTCATGTCAGCCATTTGTCTATTTTAGGAAGGCTCACATGAGTCTCAACAGGCCTGTGGTCTGAATAAAGATCACTGTTTCACTGCTTGGACAAAAGGGAGGGCCGCAGTTTCTCTTGGCCTCTCCTCTAGTCATCTCCACATGGCTGCCATTTAACTTCATTGACACAAAGGAGGCACCATCACAAGTACCACAGCTCCATTCATTCCAACAACGGAGCCAGGATTTTAAAAAGGGGAGTGGGACATCGGTGTCCGCGGAGCTGCTGTGACTCACGGAGGCCGATCATTCCCCAACTGTATGATCCTGTAGTGAACCATCGGACGGAGCAGGAGGGAGAGACAGCATCTTTAAAGGGAAACTTTCACCCTGAGTTGATATATCTCTCAGAACAACAGTGATCAACGGAGTGAAATGTGAGCCCCTGCTCTCTGCTCGCTGGTGATCAACTCTCCCAACCCCCACCCGTCCATCCACCCACACACACACACACTCTCACTCCTCCTGCAACATGTCTTGGTCAGGCAACTCCTGTTTATAAATAGGGGAGTGTCTTTTTTCCCAAAGCTCTGGCGAGGCTGCCTTTATTCCAGATCAAATATCTGCACTTTGATGTTCGCCGTATGGAAGATTTCTCCTTGACGTCTCCTTACTTGAGCACAGATGCCGTGCTCCGCTCGCAGTAACTCAGCTGTTTTTTCCAATTCCAAAAGTTCACATCGGGTTTACTAGCGAGCAGAAAGTCATTTGTAGCCACAACTAAATTCAATCTCTACTTAAATAAGAACATTTATGATTTATATTTTTAAAAAGGCAAGATTTACAGTTAGTTGTATTTTTTGTTAGAGAGAAGCTGCAGTGTTTTGTTTTCTGCCTCACTATGTAATGTATATTGTGATTTGGCACTATACAAAGAAAATGGACTCATTGTAAACAAAACATCTTAATTTGTGTTTTATTCTGTTTTATCATTGACTTGTAAACATACTTTACTAAAATTCTCTCATTCTCTAAAGCTGCTTTGGAAGATGCACTGAACTCCAGACGATTCCCTTCCATTTTCCAGAGGGGTTGTGTGTTAGAATGAAACTGTGCCCAAACATTTCCAGATCTTTTCCAGCCACCCCGAGTAAAATGTCTGTAAAATTCATGGCAAAGGAGTGGACCTCTTGTTGATGTTTTTAAAATCCAACAGACTCAAAACCACAAATAATGAAAATATATCAAGGTGGAAAAGACGTCTGACCCAGATAATCTCCTGCTGCATTTTTCATATGTGAAAGGCAACTGCGGAAAAACAAAAGGCTCCAATTTTTCAGACTTTATGAAACGCTGTAATTGTAGTCTTTTTGTCTTACATTGTTAACCAATTAATCAATCAATGCAACTCTCACTCTGCTTTCCTGTTTTGTTTCCAAGTAAAAGCAGTCGAATAAACTCATCTCAAATTACCCGGTGGTTATATAACAACAACAAAAAGAAAATCACACATTGTTCCAATTATAAAAACATAATGACGTCCTTCCTATGAAACTGAGCAATCGTTTGAACTAAAAAAGTTATACAAGATTTCTCATTCCAAACTTAACTTTAATTTAGTTTACAAAATAGATTCAGTGTCTGGACGGGCAGCAGATCAGTCAGTTTCTAAACAACTGCTGCGATCCAGGGAGAGTCTTTGAGGAAAGTGTTTTCCCTCACTCCTACCCCCCGTCTTTTTGTAAGATTTTAGGAGAGCCTCCTCCAAACGGCCCAGATGTTCTCCAGATGTGAAACCTTCAAACATCTGGTGCTGAGATTTTTTTTTTGATCCGAGTAAATTTGAGGCTATCATGTTTGTTCAGACTCTGTGTCAGGCAATAATATTTCCAAGAACTGACAACATCTCGTCTTCAGGAGGAGCAGGAATGACGAAGCTCGGTGTCGGATCGTCTCTGAACACGAGCAGCTGCCCGCTTCAGAAACTTTGGGACGTATCACAATGAACAGATTCTATTAACATGAATCGCTGAGGAGGACATCACTTGGATGAATTATTCAATCCGTCTTTTCACAGAGCTGCAGAGAATGGATGCATTAAAAGACCATTAAGTACATACAGAATAAAGACACGCCTCACGACCCAACAAGTGGCTGATAAACTCTGTGACTTGCCCACAGGGCTCTGGTTTTCCTACTGCCGACTATTTAAAAAGTTTGCGTCGGATCATTGATGTGGATGAGATGTGCGCTGGTAGGAGATGAGTTCTGCAGGACTGTCTGTCCTTGGCTGTCTGGGAGACAGCTACAGTGGTCCATTGTTTCTCCCGAAACCTGAGACCTAAGTAAAGTAACACTACATACAGCAGCAGCTCCTTCTAAGACGTCTCTTGTCTGCAGAGGAGACTGGAGTCAATCAACTACAATTTAACCATTGCAATTGTCTACTTGAGGACACTGGCCACCATTGCATGCTGTAGCAAATGTGTCAATGGTTCTCAGCATAGTGCACAATGAAAAGAGCTGTAGTGCCAGTATCCAATCTCAGAACAATTTCGTTGATAACTTAGCCATTGCTGGAGGCTAGAATTTTATGTTTTTTACATACATGTAAGGAAACTGCTGAAGATAAGTATTATTTTATTGTAAAGATTGTATTATATGAGCTTTTGTCATAGGCTACATCCACATCACTACATTTTTGTTTTAAAACCCATCTACTCCGTCACGGATACGCCCGGCATCCACACTACTGCAGAGATTTAGGGCTCATTCACACTGGCGCTATTTGGTCCGCTTTAAATGAATCCTGGTCCGCTTCCACGGGTGTTTCGGTTCATTTGGAGTGGTGTGAACTGTTCACTTACAGTGGGAAACGCAAACGGACTATCCAGCGGACTAACGAGAGGAGGTGACGTAGAGCGCTGTGTATTTTGGTTAGAAGAAACGAAAGCGAGGGGCGCGAACTGGGAGTTGAAGAAAACGTGGCAAAATGTCTCCTGAGTAGTAAAATGGAGGTATAGGCACTCATTGAAATATTTTTTCCGTTTTCTGTCCTGGCCAATGGATTAGCCGGGTTTTCTTCATCGTGCTTTTTTTCTTCATGGTCAGTGGTCGTTTCGGGCAATACCGCCCCAAATGAGCAGCTATTGTAACTGCGTGACGCTGTCCAGGCGGTTTGGTCCGCTTTAAAAAATGCAATGTGAAAGCAAACCGGACCAAATGAAGGTGTGAAATTTTTCGGAATTCCCTGCCCAATCGAACCAAGTCCCCCGTACTATCCTGGTGTGAATAAGCCCTTACTGCCGCTACAACAAAGAAGTTTGGAAAACGATGACGCAGACACTCACGGCCGCTTGCTGATTGGTTCTTTTTGGTCACAATGTAACCTTCACTGATTTGTCAGGCTCCTGTCACATGACCCTCTCCCAGAACAGAATAATTGGCATTAGCCGTGTGTACCAGTGTAGAACACGGCATGGATAATCAATTACAAGTGTTGTTGACCCTGTTGTCTTTGGACAGCTGCTGTACAGTTCAATTCTGCATTTTACAAGAAAACAACAGTTTGAATGCGTATAATTCAGCATTTAAACTGATATGGAGACAAAACGCTTGTGTAGAAAACACAATTGTCAAACAAAAACATAGTGGTATGGATGCAGCCTTAAAGACTGGACCACTTTGAACACAACCATTTTAACTCTTCTTGACACCAGGTTTTAAGCAGATTTCCCACTCTGGTGTGAAAACCAAAAGCTTTCTTAGGACTAATTCAGAGTCATTCAATCACATTAAGAGGCACAACTTTCACAAAATGAAAGCAGGATAGTTGGGTGGTTCACATTAGACATCATAGATGCAAAGTTTCTTAGTCCTGACTATGTCTAAAAATTTAAATGCAATTTTGCTTATTTATGGACAAAAACGTACATTACATCGTCTTTATCAGGATGCCAAGTGTTGACAGTGAAGCTGAGGTATACATGTGGTAAACATCAACAAAGCCATCCATTCATTTTCAATACATTTTCAACTTTTTCCAAGGAAACAGTGTTGACATCAGATGCCGGCACACTTACTTGAGGAAGTATCTCTGGCCGGAGGTGGTCTTTGCCATCTCCCACCCGTGGGGGAGGGGCACGTCATCAGGGATCTCGTATGAGGACTGACGGAGATGTTGAGGGGAGGCACCTGCTGATGCCATGCCAGACAGGGAGCCACCGGAAACGGCTCCCAACTGCAGGGAGGCCGGGGACGAGTGTGCACGGACATGGTGGGGGGTGAGGGTGACACCACTCCCAGCGTCAGTGCTGGCCTGTGTCAGGGTTGGATGAGAGGTATCATCAATTAAGAGGCTGTACATTTCTATTATGTGATTCTATGTTGTTAGGAGGTGGAAAAACATTTGTTAAACTTTGGTTTGTTCACTTATCTTTGGATAAAAAAGACACTATAGTCATTTTGAAATAAATTAGTTGTAAATCTTAAAGGCACAGTGTGTAGAATTTTGTGATATCTAGTGTTGAATGTTTGTGTTGCAGCTGAACACCCCTCACCTCACCCTCTCCTTCCAAACATGAACAAGAACCTGTGGTAGCTTCAGTTGTCATAAAAACTCAAAAGGTGTTTAGTTTGTCCAGTCTGGACTACTGTAAAAAACATGGCGGTCTCTGTAGAGAGGGTCCCCTCCATGTAAATATAAAGTATTTAAATATAAAGGACCTTTTCTGGGGTAAAGAAAAATACAATTCATACAATTTAGATGAAATGAACTAGTGAAAACATCATAAGTATTATATTTCTGCCAATAGATCCCTTTCACCTTAATCTTACACACTGGACCTTTAAGACAACATTTTACAAATTATAGAATTCATGTGAGAATTAATAAAATATAATGAATCATATTAAATTTGAATGCAAAATTTCATTGTGTGTTAAGGACGAAAAAGACTACAGAACAGGCACCATGTAGATAATTAGTGATTTTTGTGTTGTGGTGTATGTAAATCACACATATTTGAAATCCAAGTCATTTTACATACGTGTTCAAAGTACACATGCATATGTTAGGAAGTTCCATTCATGTGCAGGCATGTTTGAGTGTTGTTTAGGTCCAGGGAAGGGAGGGGAGGGGAGAGGAGGAGGGGGATCAGAGGCCTGTGTGGGACAGACAAGAGCGCAGACTCGCTGCACAACAACACATGCGCAATGGCACCGATGATAAAACTCCACTGGGACCACAAGCAACAGTTGTGGAGGAACGGGAGGGGGGATAAATAAGAGGAAATCAACCATCATATGATTTCTTCAATGTAAAACATATTCATTGCAAAACGTCCATGGACGTTCAGTGAATGCACGGTTGTGAATCTGATCAAATCATATTACGCATATGATTAAGTCAACTTCTTCTGTGTAGTTTCAGTCAGTGACTACTAACTTTAATTATAACAACCCCTCAAATCATCTAGACCAACTTCTCATGTCAAATAAATAGCTTTTTTTTAGAATATTGTGGTTACTGCGAAACTTTTACGCACAGGTTCCGTGGGACATGTTTTGTTTTCTTCGGGTGATTTTGACTAAATATTTGCAACTAGGTGGGAAAATCCACTCATTATATGAATTTTGAGATGTGAGAGGAGGGTAAACAGTTTGGGTGCAACTTCAAGATTTCCCAAGAGGAAAAAACAGAGTACAAAGTCGGATTAAGTAACTTTAAAGTGAGTGGAGCAGTCGCGTATTGTATGTAGGCCTGAGCGGCCACAGGATGGGCCTGGGCTTTAACCGTGATTTCTGGGAAAAGGGGGAAGGAGAGGCAGTGCGGGTGGGCTTACTTGTCTGGAATGGGACTTTGGTTCTGGAGGTTTGAAGAAGGAGTCTGGCAGCTTCCTCATCCGCATGGGCACGGACTGGGGTATGATGGTGCCTTTCGGGTTCATCACGGCGCTGAAAAGCGTCTCCAGGTCTGTCTGAGAGTCACCGCGTACATGGACGATCTGGTGTCCGGCAGGAGGGTTGTGCTGGCTCGGATCCATTGTGCCAAAACACTCGGCGAACTTTTACTTCTATGCGTAAATCCGAAACTGACGCGTTCAGGGGCGCACAACAAGAAGTTTGAGCCAATCCCCAAACTTTTTTCTTCTGTTGTTTTTTTACGCAGGAGGAAATGTGGATCACTCTCGACGGCTCTCAGCAAAAGTGATCCGAAGTCATTCTAAAAGTTTCTCAGCCGATGACTCTGGATTTCTCCCGCGGTGTGTTAGCTGTCGAAGTCTGCAGTCAAACACAGCGTTTCCCTGGGGTTTCTTGCTGGCATAGTTGTGGATGTAACAAAGCGCATATCTACAACTCCACACTGGAATCTGATGTGTTGTCGTCCGGCCCCAGCTTTTCCAAAAAGAAAAAAAAAACCCAGACGCAGCCACAAAAGACGAAAAACACAACAAACGCGCAAAGAGTCCCACTGTTTTGTTTTCCTAACGAAAGGTGTTAGAGGTTATTCTCACAAAGGAGAAACAATCAGGGTTCGCAGGACAAATCTCGGCGGCTCACTTTCAAGAAAAAAAAAAGTTTCGCTCCAGTCGGGTCTAAACTTTGGGCAGGACATCAAACTTTATGACTCATGGGATGTCTGCTCCAGAGGCGGAGCTTGGCTTTAATTGGGACAAGAGTCTTTAAAGGTACAGTGAGTGTAAACCCGGGGGCCCAGGAGGGTCCATGGGCCCGCAAACATTTACATTTCCCCTGCTTATGTCAAAACAACAACTTTAATTTATTGAACATCAGCCACATTTGATTTAAAAAAAATGTAAACGCAAAGTTTTCGATGTGATCCCGTGTAAGCCACAGGTTTTTCAACTGTGACTTTTGTTATTGTTTATCTAATAATGGGGCATCTTCAACACTCATTCTTTCACTTAATTGCTGAATTCTCGTCTTCCTTATTTTTTTTGGCAGCCCGCTTGCACACGACAAGGAACCCCCGCTGGGCCCTGGAGAGCCCACTCAGGGGAACAATGATTTATGGCTCATTTGCAACACAAAATGCAAGAAGCGCCTGAGTTTTAAACACACAACAAAAAATACAATACACAAGCAAGTTTTATAATTCATTCAGATATATAATTGTCACACGGGAAATTACAAAAGAAAGGTTTAGTGCTTACTTTTTGTTTACATTTTCACCTTTTTGTTTATTTGCCTGAATTTGCTGGATTACACAAAAACTGCTTAACAGATTTCCACCAAACTTGGTGGAGGGATGGGGCATTACATGGAAGCCATTAAATGTAGGTGTGTATTTAATTTTTCAAATTTTTACGACAAATAATTCATTAAGGTAATCAAACTGCACTTAATTTTTTACTTTTACATCTCATAAAAACTGCAGAATAATGTAGGATTATTTAGGCCTTGTCAGAGGTGTGTGGCATTCTAGTTTATATTCTTCTAATATAAAATATATAATTATATTTTTTTATTTGTTTTTAAAAAGGTTTTTAGTGCACATGTAAAACTTTTGAAATATGAAAAACAAGCAGAACATAGTTTATCTTTAGGTTATGATGGTGCCACATACATTTTCACAACTCAGTAATTCAAACTCACACTTTCTCTCATAATAATGGAACTATTTTCTCTCCCTTTTTTTTTTACAGTGCTCATGAAAAAGTAGATCCATGCAGTTCCCACAATTGTTATGCAAATGAGGCCCCTCTTCCATTGAGAAATCATTTTGTCAAGATCCAGTCTCTTTGGATACAGAGGCTCTGTTTCCAGCCTTTTTCCCATACATCTCCTGAATGAATGATTATGAAGCCCTATTAAATGCCCACAGACACTGTAAAGCCCCGATGAACAGATTAAAGAGCCTCGCTCTGCCACTCACACACACAGGCCTCAAGTTTAGTTTGTGCATTTGCTTTTATTTATTCAGGTTGTGTTTATTTAACATATCATTTTAGAATATCTTAGATGAGCATGCAACAGGTTAGACTTTATGGCATCACTATATTTTATTCTATTTATTACATCATAACGTGTCTGTATCCTTGCCCTACATGATTTAAAGTTATTTCTATGTGTATATTTTAAATATTTTTCATGATTCAGTCTGATAACTTTTTTAAAGTAAGTGCAGCTCTTAATATTGAACTACTTTTTGTTGTATGAATGAAACATTACGTGCACACATGATGCCAGTCAGGACGTCTCCATTATTTGGGTGGAAGTGCTCATTTTCACATCATTGTAATGCAGTCAGACACATTAAAGGAGATGGACTGCAGTGTCTCCCTGAGGAGACCACCCACTCAGCAGAACACAGCCCTCCATCCTGCTCCATCCTCCTTATCCTCAGTGGAGTTTGATTGGACGACCTGCAGAAATCAACAGAAACCATTAACTGGGGTTTATTTCCTCCAATCAGTCTGAACGGCTGAAAACCTGCCGGGCTGCAACTACTATCCTTGTTTCAAACATGTTGCTCTGGTGTTATTATAGGACACAGTGACGTACAGTGTAGGCAGTGCCCCCTACAGACTATAATGATTACTACATAGGTGTATTTCATAATAAACCCATGTGAACTTTCTTTACACACACACACACACAGCTGCTATCCTTATCAGGACTTTGATTTTACTTTCATACAGTCTATGAACAAAACCTCACCACTAACCTGACTTAATCAACCACGGCCAATTCAAGCCTTACCCGAAGCTTAACCTATAACCAAAACTCACATCTCACCAGTAACCTTAACTAGGACCTCAAGAATTAAGTGTATGCCATCAAATATAATACATATGAAAGATATCTGCAGGTTATAGTGTTTTTATCATATGCAATGTTCAGTTCCATGATTCAAATCAACGCCTTTACCCTGTTACACATGTGGGGCGTGCATATCTTTGCACGTATAGTCAACAGTCAGTTGATTATACAATATGTTCATACATTTTCAACTTGACAAGGAACAGTTTATTAAAGAAATGATATATTAGTCTGAATTGTAACTAAAGCCTAAATATATGTAAATATGCACTGTGAAGGTGCTGTGTTCACTGCATATCGTATGTTCAGGGGAACGCTCTGACTGACTGTGGTTTTTGTTGGCTGCACAAAACAAAACACAAATCATTTAGGTCTTAAATTAAGTTTCGATAATATAGCCTATAATACACTGCAAGAAAGTTGAGGTGAAATGCATAAAACTAAATAACAGGTAGAAAAAGTTAACAAGACAAAAGTAAACGAGAACAGTTGCATCAAGACTTAGCCTTTGGTATTGTTGAACAGTTAATTGCTCTTTTTTACATGCATCCAAGAGATTATTCAGTCGAGCCAGACCAAACTGTCATTCGCCTCATGTTAGATGAACAGTGACCAAAAAACATGACAAAATACTTGAGAATTTAAGCTTCACAGCAGACCCCAAAATACAAGCTCGAACTTGCGTCTGTGGAAAAAGTCTTAGCTTATTTTCAGCACTCTTGCCCTTTCTTGTCGAGTTTCTGGGTGTTGTTCTGGTGAAAAGGCTTAAATGTCATTAAGCTCAGCATTGTGTGCTTATGATGACTCGGTACATTAGCTACAGTCGGACAGAGGGATTTCAGATTTCAGAGCGGTAGAATTCTGAGCTAAAGTTTGGTAAAAGATTTTAAAGTATTCTTTATTTATACTTGTGCATTCTTATGTATCCATTCAGATTAAAATAAAGGGGTCAAACTATTGAAAATGATTTTTTTTCTTAGTTAAAATTGTTCTTAACAAAAATACAGTACATTCAGGTTAAGACAGTCAGTTGTTTAGTTGTTTCCTGAATATGCGTTTAATTTAATAACATAACCCAACATTTTACTATTTAGATCTAATGTCAGTGTTTTTTTCTTTCCATTAATTTGTGTCATGATTGTTTTTACACACAACTTGTCCTCTTCTGCTGCTGCATCATCAAACCTGAATAAATGTATTTCCCTGCTCTGGTTTTAACTGACGATAAAAAGGAGATGATGCAAAACTTTATTTCTTATCATGGCAACTAGTTCCGGAGTTACACCATTGTTTGAATCTCTGTTGTTAAACGTTCAGGAAAGAATAATGCATCATATGCATCAGAAGCAGAAATCTGCAGTTAAACCACAAAGAGTTTCATTACTGTCGGAAACCTGACACTTTAAATGAGCCTTGGCTTCCTCCACCTCTAGCAAGTTCCAGCAGGCGGACTGAAGGGCAAAACCAGACATGCAGGTAAAGGAGGGGCGACTGAACTCACATCAATAATCCCTGCAGCTATTTTTCCCCCCAGATGAACCTTCTCTTTTTTTTGGCAAGGGAGAGCGAAGCCTTGGACTAATACATATCTTATTTTACAAATTAGCAGTAGACAATTCAAATTAAATAGTCGTATCTAGCGAAGCAATAGTAAAGTTTAGTGTAGCTGCAGCTGCGACAGAGGACTGGAGGCCGTGTGGCAGAGGCTCACCTTGTTGAGCCAGTAGGTTGAGTCTAGTGCACAAGACATAATCGTCCTTTCTGCAGCCGTCGGGAAAGACAAACACACCTTCGCTGTCGCAACACTTCTTTTTATAAACCCTTTCCGGTCCTGGGTCGATTTATTGACTGTGCTTTGCATAGCTGAGGAAATAATGACACGCACACACACACACACTGCACTCAGTCAGTTTATCAGTGTATCCACAACAACCTTGTTCACATCAATTAAGGTCCTTAAATAGATTCTCTCAAATTATAGATCTAACAAATACTTCTAATAAAAAAAATAAAAATAAATTAAAAGTTTCATGTGTAGGCACTTTGAATTTGAATTCTTGCCTAAGCAGATGGAAAATACAATAATTTCAGGCACACAAACTTTATATTTTACTTTGGTCTTATTTTACTTTAATTATCTACAGTCCACTGTGTTTTATATCTTAGCAGATACTCCAGAAGGCACTTTCATTTTTAAAAGAGGCTACATCTATTTTACAAGGCAATAAAGTGCTTGACTCAGGGAGTAATGCACTGATGGGAGTGAAGAATGCTCTGAACCTAACATGCTTTCATTCAGGATTTCTTCAGGTTCCGAGCGTGGTTGTTAGCCGAGGATGCACGGAGCTTGTGGCGGTTTGTCACTTTCATTTCCCTAGTCTGAAAACAGCAGAAGAAAATAAAGAATTAAAACACGCTCAGAAATCACCATATACCCTGAGGGAAGCAGTGAACACCTTAGATATTCCCACTCACAGAGGCTGCATCCATAAGCATGAGGCCTTGCATGCCAGAGTTGCTCCCAGCGTGTTTCTTCACACCTACAAATAGAAAGAGGCCGGGGAGGTTACCATGCATTGAAATGACAACACGACAACACTGCGGTCGATCAGCTCTGACTTAAACGCAAACAACATTTACAGAGCACTCACAGTGCAGCTGGTGGTTAAGTTTTTCCAGCGAGAGGAGGATCTTCTGCTCCTCCAGGGAGATGGTGGTGAGGCTCTTGTGTTGCTGCTGCTGCATTGCTCCAGGACTCTGTGTTTGGGCGGTTTCCATGGCAGCTACAACATCTCTTTCTTCCAGTCGGCCCAGAGCGTGTACTTCAGCCAGGTGTAACTGGGCTGCACTCCCCACTCCTGAGAGCACAGACAGAATCACGTCAAAGGCATGGTATTCTCACCTGCTTCCACTTTACACTGGCAGTTTTGCTCTATGTAAAATACGGCTGTGCTGTAGTCTTTATTCCTGATAAAAACTCTAAGATCTGGAAGATTTGGATCTCTCTCCCAAAAATAATTTTACTTTCACATTATCTATATGAATGTTTGGGTACTTAAAACACGCAGGAGCGAAGTCTTATGAGTTGAACTAGACAGACGACAGTTTCTTAGAAAAAGAAAAGCTTGTCTGATCTATAACAGAAACGTAAATGTTGATCTGCACCGAACACAGTACCTTCATGAGTCAAGGCCACGTCGCACGGATTGGAAAACAATCTGCCTGGCTCCGTTGACTGATTTGATGGCTGTACAAAATAAACACAAGTCATTTAAGGCTTAGATCGATCTTATATAAAATATTCACAAAGTCTATAATGTACTGAGAAAAATATCCTGGTTGATAAGTATTATGCACAAAAGCAGGTAGAGCAAGAAGTAAACAAAACATTTTGTGCCAAATCAATGCTTAGTTTTACTGAAGATCAACTCCGAAAATCTCGTCTTGAGACTTATGAGTAGTTTGTCTCGTCAGTTTTACCAACACTGAGGACAACATTAAAGGGACTGTGAACTTATTCAACAAGTTCAAACACAACCCTCCACTGATCAATTATTTGAAACCCCCCTCCCCCCACCCACAGGGCAACTGCGTGCATGTACCTGAAAGGGCTGAGGAGGAGGCCTCCTGTTCCCTGAGCCAGGAGACTGTCTGCTCTGCTCCGAGCAGGGTTTCCTCGCAGCCCGCCCACTTTCCGGCGCCTTGCATCTAAGAACGGCTTTTGCTGAGAGGAAAGCATTTGTCAGAATCAAAACAGTAACATGAAAAACAGAACTACATCAACATGAATGATAATAGAAAGTGGTGAGTGCCCTGATACATAACATTTCTTTAACGTTGTTTTTTTTTTTACATTTTAATTGATTTCCTAGAGAACAATTCATGGATGTTGATGGAAAACGAGGAAAGTTAAGGGAAATTATTCCTTTGTGCAGTTTGGTGCAGCTTGATTGGATTTAAGGGGACTATTGAGCCTTGGAGGAGGTATCGCTCTACTGATTCTAGTTTGATTTAGTTATTATTTGTAGTTGTTGTCTACAAGTCGTGTAACCTGAGAGACCGCACAGCTTCTCCCAAGTTGGAGCCCTGACAGTGGGAGGTATACAGACCTTTGTCACCGTGTTTGCAACAATACAAACGCAGTTATGATTTTGGAACAGTGACGATTTGGTTTGGTTTCGGAAAAGATAGAGGTTTGATTCCAAATGAGGCATTGTTAAGATTAGAAGACGTCATGTTGTCAAATGGTGAAGGCCGTCATCGACAAAAAAAACCACAGGAAACAAAAAGCATCTACTGTGTTTTGTCAACACATCCTTCCACCCTGACTTCCTGATTCCTTGTTCTTTATACGACGTCACCTGACTTCTTCCCGTCATATTCACTACAGCTGCTAGAGGTTGCCTAACAATAAAACGCAGTAAAACAAGTTGTGACATGCTGTCGCACCAGTGATCTATGGGCTCGTCGCTACCTTCTGTCTCAGTTTTCACTAATATAACACAAGTTTCACACAACTAATGCATTTTTCCAAACAAAGTGAAGAAAGAGAAAAATCATTGCAAAACAAAGATGTCAAAAAAACAAAGTAGAATAGTTTCTGACTTAAAAAGCAATAGTTTGCCATGGTGAAGCTAAACCTGGATCTGCTCAGCAGTGCAATCTTAAATGAAAGTTGCAGGAGCACATGTGCTAAAAGTAAGTTTTTAACAGTCCTGCTGTGGAAGAAAATACAGTTTTGAGCCATCACTTGTAGCTGATAACACCGACACTGCTGATGGCAACATGGGACAGATTATTAGACTGGGCTTGAGGCGAGGCAGACAAGGGGCCATTGTAAGGCAGGAAGGTTTTAGGGTCAACTAAGTCCACTTTTCCACATATTAGAGGCTTACTCTTTCTTTCCTCTCTTCTGTGTGTGAGTATGTAGCAGAGAGATATTTTCAATATCAAAATACGAGACATGAACGACGCAAAAAGAACAGTCATTCAAATGTGTAACATAAAAAGTGGTGTCAAAGAATACACAGCGTATGGGTAAATGATGAAAAATGATGTTTCGGTGGAAATGGATCTCCTTGGTTTCCTACACAGCATTGCGACTCACAAAAACACCACAGTTCATTGACTAGATTCTGCCTCAATCAGATTAAACTGTGTGTGAAGATAAGGATCGAAGGGTCGCTGAGATTGTAGATTGTAGGGCATTGTTTCCTACAAGAAACAGGTTTGAGAGAAACTGTGGGCAACTTTAAATAACACATCTCTGCAAACATGCAATCCAGGCCTGAGCAGCGTGAGGGGCGGTCAGCCAAAATATACATTACCGTCCTTGATGACTAAGGCGCTGCGGACACCGTGCCAGAGCTGTGAGATCTCCTCATCTGTGGGAGTGCAGTCTAAACAGAGGCCCCTTTCATTGGACACCGTCCCTCTTCTTCTCCCGCAGCCCTGAGTTTCCTGGTGACCTGAGCTGAGCTTGCTCTTCTCATTGCCCTCTGAGACGGGGCATGTGTGCGAGGGGGGCAGTGCTGTGTGCATAACACTGCTATCTGTTCTGATTACATGATGTGTGTACGGTGAGCCTCCTGAGGCGTCCTTGTGCAGGGCCTGCTCTCCAGCCACAGCTTGTTTACTGTTGACACTACATGTGTGATCCATGCCATATGGAGTCTTGGTGACATACGCCATCTTCTCTTCCACCGCTTCCATCCGGGGAGGTGGGCGGGGCACCATGATCCTCCCTTGGGTTTTGGCAATCCGATTCACCTCGGTGGCAGATTGAGGTCGTATGACGGTGCCCTTTCTACTCCGTGAGGAAACAGGACCCGCTCTGGCTCGGGCAGGGAGCTCTCTCCAAGGGGCCTTGGGGCCAATGGACCTGGTGGCGCTCTGCAGCACCTTGACCTCGTCTGCTCTTTCCTGGGATAAACTGACTTGAACCCCAACATCTGCCCACGCTTGCTTTGTAAAGTGATAACCAGTGGAGGCTGCAGGGGTCACGTTGGGTCCAGGCTTGGAAGCCCCTGAGACTGTAGTAAGACCTTGCTTGTGGTCTTCTGGTTTTTTCTTTGACTGAGAGAGGATGGAAGACTTCGATTTGATCTGCTCTTTTTCCTCGTGAACCTCATCAAACCAACGCACCCTCTTTTTGATAGCACTGCTCCTCACATCCTTCGTCTTTGCCCGGGTCAATTCAACACTATCTTTGATCGCTAAAGCTACTTGTTCTGCAAAAATCCCTTGCCCTGAACTGTACCCACATGCAGCATCAGTTGACATGTATCTGGACGGCTTTTTAAGAATCCCTTTAATTAATCTGACGACTGAGAGAGGCAACTTTTCTTCGTCCTCCTCGGGACGCTTGAAGCATTTGAGGGTGTCTGACTGAATGTCTGACAGGCGTGCATGTTGCAGCACGGGCTTCTCAGTTGTCGGCTCCAGGTTTGAAAAGGCATTGAGGTTAATAATGGAAGCGCTGGGCTCTTTTTGGGATGAAAGATGCTGGGTTTCTTTTCCTATGTGCTGAAGCGTTCCCACTTGTGAGGAGTTATCTGTGTTGCTTTCATTTAGGAAAATATTTGGCTTTAGGGGAGCCCCAAACAAAATCTCTCTGCTGTTGCCATTTTTGGCAGGCAGAAGAATCTCTGTAGCTGACGGATGTATTAACTGTCTGTCATCGTGGACTCGCTGCTGTCTAAGATCCAACAGAGCCTCTTGTTTTGGACATGATGAGTCAAGTGCTGTGCTGTCGAGCGTAACTGTAAAATTAATGTTGTCTTTGGGATAGTTGCGTGTGGAGTTGGTCTCAAAGTGCTCTGGGTCAGTGCTACTAATTTCACATGATGATGATAAATTGTCGCTGTTCACTGCAGGTTGTGTCTCCGTTTTCTGCGTCTGCTCAGATGTGAACCCCCAGGAAGCGTTGACAATGTGCATCTTATTGTTAGGACCCTCTGAGTCATTTGGCTTTTTCTGCTGTGGCTCCTGCTGCTTTTCTGATTGGGTGAATTTTCCATCCAGGAGCCGCATTGCTGATGAAGTTCGGTCTGATGCATGCCGCGGCTTTTCTGAGTCAAGTAAGTAAAAGTGGGAACACCACAGATTATTTCCGCCATGGTTGTGGTCCTCATTCTCCAAACTGTCCCTACTGGAGTTACAGCTGTCAGACACGTGGCTGTCCTGAAATATGGAGGCAGAAGAGAGTAGAAGATAATATGATTTACCTTTTCCTAACCTTTAGGAGTCCTGGCAAGTTTTTGAACGCTTTTGAGTTTGCTTTTATATACCACATTAACTGTGCAAATGTTTTTTCCAGCACAAAATCGCCCATTTGACAACATATTGGACCCACAAGACAAGACATTATTTGATCATGCTCGCAGAAGTGATTAATTGTGACTATGTAGATACTTTATACATACAAAGGCCTGTAGTTCAGGGGTCAACCTAAGTAAATACACCAAGAAAACTATGCTAGGTTTCTGGTCTGCTTGCAGGACACGAGATCCTACAACACTTTAATTATTTAAAATCGTATCTGCCGTTAAAGGTGGACTTTACTTTTGTTAACAAAGCTGAGGCAGTACAACAGCTTTGGAAAGGAGTTGGATGTGTTGTTTAAACACACATCAGTTGAGAGAAGTATAGATTTGATACAAGAAGAAATTATACTGTGGACAATCTAGTCCAGACATCTAAGTTATTGTTCAATATGAAGTTGAGGGGTTTGGGTTCCACACACACAAGAAGCAAAATAAGGTACATTCGTTTGAAACAAGTGCAGGGTGCTGAAGCTTGTGAGTCCTCTGATACAGGAAAGAGCTCATGTCACACTGCTGCACCCTAGGGGACTAATCGTGTAGGTTAATATATAAAAAGAACCAGTTCTCACATTAAAAATAAACTAGTTATGCGAAAATGTTCAAACACACACCACACCACATTGGATGAATTAATATCTGATGCCCAGTTTTTTAAAAACTAAATCAACTGCATAGTTTCCAGCAAGATATGAGAAGTGTAGAAAATGACATCTGCTGGTTTTTGAGCAACAGATCAAGCTCATATTAGTTTTTAAAAATTAAAAAGATGTGAATGTTAGATTGGGTACATTGCACCAACAAATGCCCTTCTATCTTTCTAAATTCTTTTTGCAACAGTATTTGATCTATTTACAGGTCCTTATGTGTGTGAGACATAACAGCATCTTGCATTATTAACATCCCTGATACTACAAAAGGGAGGTATAAAATGGAATGAGTAAGAACACCTTAAAACGGCAAAATATTTGGTTTCAAGATTGAAGTCAAATTGAAATCACTGACAAACCTGTGGACTGTGATTTTGTTGCTTCTCTTGTGTCGTCTCATTTTCTCCGAGGTTCTTGGAGAAAGCCATCCTCTGCTCCAGAAATGTTTTGGTGTGGGCCTCCACAACAAAAAGAGAGTGGCTATGGGAGGATTGAGGAGAGGGAGTGCAGCTTCTTTAAGAGAAAACAGAAAAATTTAGGTAAAATGTATGAATCCTCCAACAATAAGACAGAGCTACAGATAAAATATATATATGTATTCATTTTAATCCAAAAAACAGTGATTGGGTTATATTTCATATATTATTCTGCCTTTTCTTTACCTGTTAATGTTGGAGTTTCCGGACAGGTATGACGACTGCTGGGTGTAACAACTCAAAGGGCCTTGAAGTTGACTGAGGAAATCGTCAATATTTGGAACGTCTCTTGTAAAAGCTAAAACCACATGAAGGAAAAGACAAAACAAACTGAAATGTGTTAATACTGCTGTGCAATGTTTCTCATTTCTGAGAGACGTATGTAAGACGCATGACTGACTTCGTCTTCGTCTTTGAGAAGGAGGTAGGTGGCCTCTTTGGAAGCGCTCGGTCGCATCCTGCACTCTCTCTCTGCGTTGCTGCAGGATCTTCTCCCTCTCCCGCTTCTCCTGCTCGTCCCTCGTCTTCTGTCTTTCCTCCAGCGCCCTGCGCCATGACAGAGAGCTGAGCATTCACCTGAGGCCGATTGCACTGATTAAGTCTAGACTGGCCATGTTTTCGATACAGAAACCTGAAACTGGTTGTTAAGATGTGTTTGGAACGTGTTCATTAATAATTTAAAGCCAACACTCGCAGCTGGGTCCACAGAGTCTGTCAATAATGACATTACAGGGTCAATAAAGTTCATATTTGTATTATACATTTTTAATATTTGGGAAGATGTTACTATGAGTGTAGCTTCCTAGTATCTATGCAACTTTAATTGGTTTTGATTTTCTAGGCTCTTAGTGGGTGAAACTAGTTGTTTTCTCAGTGGTTAACTTGGAAATTGATCATTGTTTTGATCCAGAGTTGTCCTGTGGATTAAAATGAGGAGAGTCTTTAGAGCGTCAAGCTAAGACTTCATTCATTAGAAACTCACACACTTGAAAAGGAAAGTTGTTTTTAGTGTCTGTATGAGGATGAACTTTGCAGCTCAAGATCTATTTCCAGGCCTAGACTGAAAAAATCTCATCTATCCCTTATGGTCCTAAGCCCATGCAGACCAGGACCATAAGCCATAAGCCATAAGCTACACGTTGAGGAGTCAGGTACATACTCTACACCAACAAGTCAGCTTCTGCCTCCAGTAGGAAATGAAAGATGCTGATCCTGATAGTTCAGGTTTGGTCTGCAGAGTACAGACAGCATAGTGCTAAAATAAAAACTACAATGCGTCATTATCATATTGTCCGTCCACTTACTTCCTGCGTCGTTTGGTCTCCAGGGAAAACTTGCGAGCTCGGGCTCGGCAGAGTTTCTGCTCCTCGGCCATAAGTTTTTTCTCATCATGGAGGTCGCCAGCAACTCCGAAACTTGTATTTCTGGAAGAGAGCAGCTAAGGAAGACAGTTCAATGTGTTACCTGAATGCAACATTTCACTTCAGTGAATCACTGTGAATTGCACAGGCCGGTCACAGGTTTAATCATCATAGTGATTCCCGTGTTAATTTAGTTGTTCTCACACATGTAACACACTTTTCTTTTTGTTTTATAATGTCGTATTTGAATCATTTTTATGTACATTTTCTTATTTCATTTATATGCCAGTTCTCACAATTTTAAATTTGCTTGTATGATGTCAATCATAGTTATAGGAATCTTACAATATTTATGTTTTCTGTTGAATAAAAAAAGTATATGAATAAATGTATGCATGCATATAGATATAGGATCATAAGAATGAAAACTAAAGAAAGAAAAAAAATCTGAAATATTATAATAAGTATATAAATAACAAATGGTTATATAAACTGTATATGCCATCTTAATCTCAATTTAATATTATTATTCTGCTTCAGAATTTATTGAATCTACCCACTGGGTATTATTATATCCATCTTATTTTACATGAAACTGTTTTAATATTCGTTGCTCTCTAAAAAAAAAGTAAAGTCATTATTATAAATATCATTATTATTATAATAAAACATTAGAAGGATACGAGTGGTAGAAGAAGTTGTCGTGAGGAAGCCTCATCCTCCGCTGGCTGACGCCGGGCTCTCAGGCAGCTTCAGCCCGCCGGTGAGGCTCCGAGCTTCGGGTCCCTCTGAAGCTAACGTCGGCGGAGCTCCGTGCTAACGATGCTAACTCATTCATCCATGTTTACCGTGGAGACCAACACGGAAGTGCGTTCTCGGTAACTTCTCCCGATGACCCTCAAAGTCTCTGCGCTCGATTGGAAACGCGAGAAAAGCTCAGCCGGTGTTTTCCGTCACTATCTCGTTGAACTGGTGATCATGGTAAAGTCACGTAACCAGTGTAAACAGGAAGCGGGCGGTGTCATCAGCTGGTTGCTTAGTAACAGAAAAGATGGCGAAGAGTCGGAGAAGTTCATTCATTCGTTATTTGTTTAATCGCTGGACAGCACTAATTCATAAACGAGGTGATGCAACTTAAACACAACATGTGCAGGTTGAGAAAGCTACTTCATCAATTCGACAACACGTGCACCGACACAAGTCACATCACATGCAAATACAGAAACAAGCAGCAAACAGAAACGTTTACATAATAATATTTGTATTATTGCTGCATGTAATTCTATACAAGACATACAACCTAGTCCTACTGCAGCCTGAATGATAGGATAGTCTCATTTATAAAAACACCCTAATTACAGGCTGTATGGAAGATATATGGAAAAATGTCTGCTCAAACATATTTCACCCCTGATATAATAATAATAAAACAGTGGCTCTCTCCCTTTTTTTAATCCTGTCTGAAAACCCATCTTTTTAAACTGACATATTCAGTCTGATCGTTTTCCATTTGGCCACCCTACATAACATGAGTGCTGTGCGAGGCGCCATTAAATAAAATGTATTATTATTATTTATTAAGCTTTATTTCTATAGCACTTATCTAAACAAGGTTACAAAGTGCTTGGTTACAAAACAACAAAGAGCAGAACAAGACAAACAAACATAAGAAAGATAACATGATATGAAATATGAAAAACAAGCAACATTTACAAACAGTCCAAATAAGACATTTAATGGCTTTTCTACATAAAAGATATTTTAAGCCCCCTCATATTGACGAAACCTCGTAAAGTTAAGTATTTCTATCTTATAGCTTTTTTTTAAACAGTTTGAATACTCATGATATATTATTTTTGCGTTGCTTTTACCTGCTCTGTGACAATGCCTCTTACAAAATACAAAGGTTATTATTACCTGTTACATCTGGTGGCATAGTGAGGATAAGAGGATTTGGGAAAATCTGCTTTTTCCAGATTGCTTATGCAATATGGACAGAGCCCACCGTATTTAATTATCATATAAATCCTAAACAATCATATAGAGTATTAGTGTTGCTGCATGAAGCCTGTGCACCACTGACCATCACCACAAATAGTTCACAAGACAATAATCCCTTAGTCTGCTTGAATTTATGGCACAGTGAGTTGGGTCAGTGCTTAAATCCTCCATTAGTTTGACAAAGTGTTTTAATATCTTGCCTTTTTTTGGCTCACTGGGCACAATTATAGAAAATTAAGTAAACTAAGATATATCATCTCTAAAAGAAGGACCAAATGTACCCAACAAATGCTAATATCCCATGTTACAAAACACACCTTCAAAGCTGCTCTAAAACCACCCAGTGGGCGTGCGGAGGCAGCTCTGTCGCTCAGGTCTCGGGGTGAGAGTCAGTGTGACCGGTGGAAGAGAGGACGGCGTGAGGCTGGTGGACACGAGGTGCAGCTGTACGCTTGTGGATGTTTGAGTTTTGGGTTCGAACAACTTAATGGTGGAGCAGTTTTCTCTGAGGTGAGTGGATGTTATCTTGTTGGAATTTGATGTGAAATATCTGATGATACACACTGATAATGAATGAAAATTGCTTGCAGAGGTCATTTGAGAAATGTTGGGTGTTATTTTTGGCTTTTGAAGGTAAAGTTTTAGGCCCATGAAAAGCACCAGCAGCCTGTGAGAGGGGTCTAATCCTGCAGAATCCCATGTTTCTGAATCTTCTGTTGTCTTTCTCAACATGTAAACACTAAGGTCTTCTGCTCCACATGTTGAGGACGTGGAATATGTTTACATGTGTGCTGATATCACAAAGACTAAAAAATTGCAGAACAATCTGATCAATCATACAGTGCACCTTTAAAGGGGCAATGCTATGTTGCCAAAGCAATGAGACATTAATGTTGTCTTTACCAAGAAGATCAGAAACCAACCCAGCTACCTTTGTAATTTCAAATAACAGAAATGTTTGTTTTTTAAATTGGTGATCATGCAATCTACTTTTATTCAGAATTGCCTCACTTTGAATATAATTTAAAACGAATTTGTCTCAGCTGATATAGATGCCAAACATGCCATGTGTGTATTTGTGTCTATACTGTGCTCACCAGTTTGCTCAATTATTTAAAATCTTGTTAGGTCTAATTATGATTGAATGAAGGAACATTGTCATCTGTCATTGCTGAAGCAATTAGCTTCTGAGATAACCACATTATTCAAATGCTATTATACTGAACAGAAAGTGGATTTACTTGTTTTGACAACGACACAAACCTGCATCAAAACAGTCACTGTCATATAGTATCATCATCACAGTCTAATGCAGTGAGTTACCATCATATTCACAGTAAATTAAAATTTACCAGGATTAAACACTGGATGGCATCGCTGTGTAATGTTCCACGTTTTGCCGACTATCGGGCAGAGGCTGAGTGGATGAACAGGGCCAGGCCAAGAAATGAAGGCGAGCAGATGATGAGTCTGTGGGAGGCGTCACACATGTTGTGAGAGTTATGATTCGGCTGAGACCAGCTGTCCATCGCACATTGCTGTCCACTCACTGCTTTATGATCCCGAGGCCTTCTTTTGGGATATGCAGATGGAGCCAATCCTCATGCATCTAAACCAGTAGACTAATTAAAGTTAATGTGTCTGCTTAGGGAGAAATTAATATTCATCCTGAAGCTGCTGGAGTGAAAATTAAGTATTTTAGGTAGCATTTAGAATTTTACAGATACATAATTTGTACTTGCAGTCATATGACAATGGTATTATATCATCTAATATACTTTCCCCAGATGGAGCAGTGAAGGGGAAGCCATGATGCTGAGGCCGGCTCTGCCCAGACCTCGAAGACCTGCTCTACGAGGAGCCGGTTACCTCTTTCGTGCCCAGTCCTCCTCCTTCCTCTCCATGACAGAGGAACTTTTCTTAGATGCTGCAGAATACGGCAACGTTCCAGAAGTGAGGCGGATGCTGGAGGAGCTTCCACTTCTCAACATCAACTGTGTGAACTACATGGGCCAAAGTGCATTGCAGCTGGCAGTGGCCAACGAGCATTTAGAGGTGACCAAGCTCCTGCTGAGGAAGAAAGACCTCGCTAGAGTAGGTGATGCTTTGCTGTTGGCCATCAGCAAAGGCTACATCCGCATAGTGGAGGCCATACTGGCTCACCAGGCCTTTGCAGACAGTCAGAAACTCACCAACAGCCCGAGCCAGGCTGAGTCACACGACGACTTCTTTGCCTATGACGAGGACGGCACGCGCTTCTCTCACGACATCACTCCCATCATCCTGGCTTCACAGTGCAATGAGTATGAGATCGTGCACATACTTCTGATGAAGGGTGCCCGTATAGAGCGGCCTCATGACTACTTCTGTCAGTGCAGAACCTGCAGCGAGCAGCAGAGGCACGACGCTTTCAGCCATTCACAATCCAGGATCAATGCATATAAAGGTCTGGCCAGTCCGGCGTATCTGTCGCTCTCTAACGAGGACCCTGTGATGGCAGCCCTCGAGCTGAGCAACGAGCTCGCTGTTCTGGCAAACATCGAGAAGGAGTTCAAGGTATGATCAGCTCTGTCAGATGATACGTTAGATTGAATAAAAACATTGCAGGCTATGTCAAGATGCTACAGATCTTGCCTTCTTCTGTTGCAGAATGATTATATCAAACTATCCATGCAGTGTAAAGACTTTGTCGTCGGACTCCTGGATTTGTGTCGAAGCACAGAGGAGGTGGAGGCCGTCTTAAACGGGGACCCTGACTCGTGTCAAAGCTATGAAACCTTTGGCAGACAAAACCACATCAGGTTGAAACTCGCAATCAAGTATGAAGTTAAAAAGGTGAGCATGCGAGGAACACACTTTATTCTGTAGTTTTAGATGTCACGTGTTCTTGAATGCTTATGTAAGCTTTCTCTGTCAATGGTTCAGTTTGTAGCACATCCGAACTGCCAGCAGCAGCTCCTCTACATCTGGTACGAGAACTTTTCCGGACTCCGTCAGCAGAACACAGCGGTTAAAATCCTGCTCGTCCTCGGTGTAGCTGTCGGGCTGCCTGTCCTGGCCTTCATGTACTGGATAGCACCTTCGAGTAAGGTTAGTTCCTGCACGGTCAAACGCAAAGCAAGATTCTACTTTTTGTTTTCTTGACTTTTCTTTTAGATAAAACATTTGAAACTGCACTTTATCAGCGCAAAATAAGGACATAAACATTGCATTTGCAGCTGTCGTGATTCCAATCCTGCTCCATGTTTGTTGAACGTTTAAAACAACAAATGCTGCCAACATGTTTGCAACAAAAACTTTAGAAGGCAACTTAAATTGAATTCAGTAGAGCGCATACCTCCGCCAAGGCCCAACAGCCATTTGGACATAGATATAAAGCTATTCTCTACTGAATCCACATTATCTCAGCTACACATAGTTACAGGTTCCTCACCCTATTAGCTATCGTACAGCAGCTGAAAGGATTTACTAATTTAGACCCAGATGCAGATTCTGTGACAGGATCCCATTTAAACGTGTTAGATCTGGATTTCTATTTGGATCCACACCAAATTTCTCAAACGCATAGAAAGCAGCCCCCTAAATACGTCAGATTTTTTTCATAAAGACCCATGAATTGTTCCCTGGAAAATTGGTGACTAACAAAAATGCACTATGTCCCAATGTTAGAAATAGGGAGAGAACATTTATTTCCAGATCGGCTGCAAAAATAAATGGATTCCTTCTTGGCCCATGTCCCATCCTTTTGTGGAAATCCATCCGTTAGCTTTTATGTAATACTGTGGGCAATCAACAAACCAACAACCATGAGTGGCATTTATCTCCACCATGAAAAAATTCAATGGTTAAATTCAATGGTTTGTTTGTATTTATATAGAGCTTTTCTAGTCTGACCACTCAAAGTGCTTCACAGTACAGTTTTCCATTCACTCATTCACACACATTCATACAGTGCATCTATGAGCGGCTCTTTTTTTTCTATGAGGGGCAATTTGGGGTTTAGCATCTTGCCCAAGGACCCTTTGGCATGCAGATGGGGAAGACTGGGGATTGAGCTGCTGACCTTCTGGTTGAGGATGACCACTCTACCCCTCAGCCAATCAAGCTGCACTAAATTTCACAAACTTACAGATATCAATCCACTAAATATGTCAACGTTTTTCACATGACTTACAAATTATTGGGAAATTGGTGAAAATGTCAACACCCTGTCTCGGAATGTTAAAGAAAGTGCAAAAGAATTCCTGGATCTGCACCAATAATAGGTTCTCCCCCGACACATACCACATCCTTCAACCAAGTTTCGTGGTTAATCTGTCCAGTAGTTTTTGTGTAACAGCTGTGGGTTTGTGGACTTCTTCTTAAGTTCTTTTGCTCTCATCAACAAGATTAATGCATTTTTGTCAGAAAACCCTCTCAGACCAGAGTTTACTGTTTTGGCCTTATGTGTTGGTTTATTTCTCACCATGAAAAGGTGTTGAATACATTTTCAAAAGCCTGCAGCAGTTTAATAGTTTCTTCTTCTGTGTGCCCTGACTTCTCTCAGTTGGGGAAACTCATGCATGGACCTTTTCTGAAGTTTGTGGCCCATGCTGCTTCCTTCATGATATTTCTCTGCCTGCTGGTCCTTAACGCCGCCGACCGCTTCGAGGGAACGTCGCTGCTGCCCAACATGACCGTCCACGACCACCCATCGCAGCTGTTTCGTATGAAGACCACCCCCTTCACCTGGATGGAGATTCTCATCATATCTTGGGTCATAGGTCAAGAGTTTCCCTTCCATCCACCTCTCTCCCATTCTTACAATCGCTACAAGCTCAGATCATTTCCTCATAAATTTGAATCTTTTCCAGATTATGTTAATGTCTTCACGTTTCTGACGCTGGCTCTTCTCTTCCACCCATGATTTAAGTCCGGCTATGACACAGTTGCATCAATTTGCTGTGCATGCAGTTTTAATGATATTACGAGTTATAAATCCCAAACGTCTATCTTTAATGAAATGGCCCACGTAGATAATTATGCATTCCACGTGCACCAGAATAAATCTGACTTGTAATGACTTTCCAATGAAAAAGGCAAAGGTGACACTCTCACTTAGCTCCACAGGGGAGACTCTGGAGCGTCTCACACACACACACACACACACACACACACACACACACACACACACANCACACACACACACACACACACACACACACACACACACACACACACACACACACACACACACACACACACACACACACACACACACACACATTCACTTTGCCAGTGTACAGCATCAGTAATTATTGTGTGATCAGATAAATCCTTATTCATCGTATTTTTCTTTTTCTTACAGGGAAGATCTGGGAGGAATGTAAAGATATTTGGAATCAGGATATCAGGGAGTACATCTCAGAACCCTGGAACCTTCTCGACTTTAGTATATTGGCCATATTCATGACGTCTTTCATTGCCAGGTTAATGGCGTTCTGGCACGCGTATTCTGCCCAGTGTTATGTTGACGAGCACTACACTGACCTGTCCAACATGACCCTGCCCTCTGACATACAATACTTCCAGCTGGGTAAGTCTGGGGAGCAGAGAATTCAAGAATCATAAAGCAATGATTCAATAGTGAGTTTTCTGAGTGTTGTTTCCTCTGCAAAGGAGGATGTGTTTGTTTATTTATTTCTCAGCAGAAAGTACAGAAAGGATGTCCACAAAATTTTGGGCAAAGGGCCAGATTGAGGAATTTTCCTAACCACTTTCTTAAATATTGCTTTTTGACATTTGGATCTTTGTGCTCGACCAGTGTCATTCCAGTTATTTAAGAGATTCCCCTGGTTCATACTCAGATATTAGTTTGCATGATTCAATGGTGACTTTAAAACTTCTTCTTGATGATGAGCAGGAAAATTCATGAACACCGAGAAAAGATTTCACCAAATTTTGCAACGTATCTCTGCAGGCTGCTTTTTTTTTTACTATAATTGATTTTAGGCTAATGACTCCCACCAAAGACGTTATGTTTTCACCTGTGTCTGTTTGCTCTCATACACCATTTGCTTTATTCTCAGCTCGAATCAACTGGATGCCCTCAGACCCGCAGCTCATTTCTGAAGGCCTCTATGCCATTGCAGTTGTGCTGAGCTTCTCTCGCATCGCGTACATTCTGCCGGCCAACGAGAGCTTCGGGCCTCTGCAGATCTCTCTGGGACGGACAGTGAAAGACATCTTTAAGTTCATGGTGGTCTTCATTACAGTGTTTGTGGCTTTCATGGTGGGAATGTTCAATCTGTACTCGTACTACCTCGGAGCCAAGCACAACGATGCATTTACAACGTGAGTGTGGGCGTTTTCAATCAAACTTTTACCTAAAAAAAGAAAGCCAAATTTTGCCTGTAGATACAGTCTGTTGTGAATCAATATGAGATGAGAGTAACACATCGGTTGCACTGCATTCATTTAATTGTCATCTCTTCATTCCTCCAGGCTCGAGGAGAGCTTCAAAACCTTATTCTGGGCCATCTTTGGTTTGTCAGAAGTGAAGTCAGTGGTCCTGAATATCGACCATAAGTTCATTGAGAACACTGGCTACATTCTGTACGGGGTGTACAACATCATCATGGTGATCGTCCTGCTGAATATGCTCATCGCCATGTTCAACAGCTCCTTCCAAGAAATACAGGTAGTCTGCATCCATCCACAATTCCACAAATGCAAATGTATTTTTTGTGTCTTGTGTATTATCTGTGGTTGTAAGGGACATTTTGCTGTATGATCATATTTGTTTTGGACTCCATTCATTTAAAAAAATTTTGTGATTTACTGCTGATCTGTGTAAAAGCTGTCACGTTGTGAAAGATGTGAAACTTGGCTACAAAAATTATGTTACATTATACATTATATGTACATGAAAATGTACATGTACATGAAATGCAAATGTATTCTATAACATAGTAAATAACATGCAACACCACAATCTTGGAACTAAAATGATCACAATTAATATGATAAGAGAGCATGTGCAAATGCAGGTGTATTGCACTGCACATCAGAAAGGCAAACTGACTATAGAATAGAATAGAATAGAATAGTATGGTATAGCAGAATAGAATAGAGGATAATGTAATAGAATACCTCAACAATAAAATGGAGACAGACAATCATCCTGAATATTAAATGTTTCATACCTTCTTATTCTCTATCTACTCTGCTGATGCAGGACGATGCTGATGTCGAGTGGAAGTTTGCTCGAGCCAAACTCTGGTTCTCGTACTTTGAGCACGGCGTAACGCTGCCCGTGCCCTTCAACCTCGTACCCAACCCCAAGTCTGTCATCTCCCTTCTGCTGGGGATCAGAGGATTTCTCTGTCCTGCACCTCAGGGCAAAAACAAAGAGAGTTCAAACGATGAGATGGAGCTTAACAAGGTGAGGCTTCAGCTGCTGACACAAATATCTCAAGCAAGGAAATGACCAAAACCATATTGTTGTCTGTAAAGTAATGTTTGAGGACATACATTCACCTGGTGAAGTTTACTTACAGTATATTCTTTGATAAGGATCTACAGGGCCCCCTTGTGTCACATTCAAAAGCTGCAGTTTAAGTTTTAAAATAGATATGAACAGTGCTTCTTCTCTTTTGTGTTTTTTCTAATCTAAGTTGAAGCAACAGGAGGATCTGAGTGTGGAAGCTTCAATTTGTCCGTCTCACCACCAGGTAAAGACATTTCTGTTTCCTGATGCTGACTCATCTCATAACTGAGCTGCTGGTCTGACTATAAATTATCATTCACATATGTGAAAAGAAATAATGTAATACTAGAAAATAAAGTAGTTCATATTGAGAGGACAAATTAAAAAACCTAATCAGATAATTGCTGTATATAGGCCTACAGTGCATTTAGAAATAATTCAGACTCCTTCACTATTTTTGCTCTGTTGCAGCCTTATGCTACAATTGCTTAAATGTATTTTCCCTTCATAAATCTAAACTCAGTGACAGCTGATGGGAAAACAGAAGTAGAATTTATTAAAAAGGACAAACTGAATTATCACATAAAAATATGTTTTTGCAATGAAACTTGAAATTGAACTTCAGTGACTTAAAATTAAGCTCTGTGGCACTGAAGGATTTCCAGGAGCCACAGTGACCTCCATAATTCTTAAAATGAAGAAGTTTGGAAGCAATCAGGGGAGAGCGACCTTGGGTGGAACCTGATGGTCACTCAGGCTGCGCTCCAGAGATCCTATGTGGAGATAAACTCAGAGAAGGACAGCCTGGACTTAATGACAGAGTGACCAGATGTAAAAGACACATGGACATGTGACAAGATACATCGTACTACGTTGGATATTAATCTTATTTGGGATAAATGTTGAATGTAGAGTGAAAATGATAAAAAAAAAATTGAAAAAGATTGCAGCATAAAATAAAAAAGAAGAAATAGCAAATATATGAGTTCACTTTACATGTGCCAACATAATCAGTCAGTCAAATACATCAGAATCAGAATCAGAAATACTTTATTAATCCCCGTAGGGAAATTAAGTGTTGACGAGCTCCTGAGAAAGAGGTGAAAGAGCAAAAACAGGTATAAACAGCAATATAAAAACACTGTATAATCAATCATGGCCACAGATCATATTGGCTGCTTCTCTAACTCAAATCTATTTGTTATTACAGCAGATAATGAACCGCCTCGTCAAGAGATACATCGTAAAAGCACAAATGGATAAAGACAACGACGAAGTGAAAGAAGGTTCGTTTGTCTGGATACATTGCTTTTTTTGGTATATATTTTAAAATCAAAGTGATCATGCGTTTTATCTACCTGGCCCACAGGTGAGCTTAAAGACATCAAGCAAGACATCTCTAGTCTCCGATACGAGCTGCTGGAGAGACAGAGCCACGACATGGAGATGCTGGCTGAGCTCATCGGGCGATTGGGAGACGCCATGCGTGTTCAGCAGAAAGAAGAGTAGAGGCACAAACTGGCTTCTTTAAAAATAATGTAAATATCAAGAACTGGACACACTGCACTCATCTCATTATTGAGAAGTGGAGGGTCAAAAGGCCTTCATGCTCAGATGTGGATATTCTGTATGTTAAATATGGAAACCTTCTCTTTCTGCCTGTCTCTGTACAGTTAACAACATGGTGGCACTGATGGAACCTTCTTTTCTTGCTGCACAGGTTCTGTTTTCCTCATATCTACTACTGACTGCTCACATATCATCTTTGTATAGTTTAATTTAAGGGAGAGTTGCATTAGAAGGTAAAAATCAGTTTAAATAAAACAGATGTATGTGTCTGGATGTGTCATTTAATGAGAGAAACGTAAAAACAAATGAAAGATTGTTGGAGGTAACGGACCTCGGAGGTCTCTGTGAATCTCATTTATCTTCCGAGGAATCTTAAAATCAATCTGCGAGGCTGTGGTTTTTACACAGGACATTCCCTTTGTTTGATTCAAAGAATATAATTAAAAATCTATCATGATTGTTTTCATCTCATGGCGCACAGAGGGTTTATGGCCTCCTAACATCATTAGATGAGATGTTTGTTGTGCTCCCTGAAACTCGCTGTGAAGCAAGACACACATCTGAGAACAGTCTGACCTGTCAAGACATCGACTCAGAGAGTAAAAGCTCCCGAGCCGGGTCCCTGAGCGGCGTTTATCGTGTGTCTGCAATATTAGACATTTGATTTTCAAAGAGGGAGCCAGAGGGATTGGGTTACACAATGATTTGAAAGCTGCCGGTGGTCACCGAGCATCACATTTACAGATTAGAGTCTCGTCTGAGAACTGGGCCATTACAGCATTGTGAAGAACACATCATTTAGATATGAGTGTGAAACTGTTATCCAAGTACTATGTAGGCCACGACATGAGGATCCCCTCTGATACTGTTAAAGTGTTGACGCAGGAGATAGGACCAAGGCCTGCGTGTGCATCATACATCCATACTCCACTGATTAACTCCAACTCTCAAACTTGATGTGTTATCTAAGCAGGATAACAGAAATGTAAATCACTAGATTTGGTTCAGTTATGACTCAACATCTTTCAGAAATGCAACAGAAGATGTTCGTCACTTTGTCGAAGGCTGTGAATGTGAATTTGACAAATATATAATTAAACATCATTCTGAACTGAGGACGTTAACTTTACATATGTGAAAATGGAAGATGATTGAAAATGAAACTATTGAATGAGAACTATCTTTTGCAAAGAAAGTAAAAATTATAATTGTACAGACATAACAAAGATTGGATGATGTTTCGCAGTTGTCAATACATGTTGAAGCATAAATTAGATGCATGATTTTGTCCTCAGCATATTATGAACCCACAATATGCTGCTCTCCAACTGAACCCAGCAGGGTTTAAGATCTGATCCGTTTTTGAGTGTTTATTCACTCACTGTGTCCAAGTATATTAGTATGCCTGGTCTTGTACTACTTCCCAACATGTATGACAAATATACAGTAAAAACATAATGAATAGATGCAAATNATTGTTTATTTATATGAATACATAAACCCATCCAAGGCAACATAGTGTTATAGATGATGATAACATGCTGCATGTTGTACAGGGAATTGAGCTCTGCTCCTGAGTTAGCCCCCCCCTTACCCGAATACAGGGAGCAGGAACAATAAGATGACAACATAATGGTATCCATATTAATGTGAATAATACAGATATGTTCTACCTTTAGGAAGGTTTTAAGGTTTATTTTATGAAGAGCTGGACCTAAATGTTTTGATTAAACTCACATTTATTATTTTAAGCTGTAAATTTTGAAGATTTTGTTTTGGATATGCCTCATACCAAAAATTAGATGAATAATTTTGTCCTCAGTCTCTGTGACAACCATAATATTGGATTTTGATCTCTAATTGAACTGTTTATTACTAAGTATAGCCAAGTATTATATCATGTCTGGTTTTGCTTTGGTTTTCAATAATTTCTGGCATTGGCCAAACGTGGCATCGTGTTACACCTCATCCATGTACAGCAGGGTGGTGACTAATGGCCCTCGACATCGAGGTAATCCATTGTTGACTCTTCCCATTGGCTGGATATGTTATCACAGATTTGCAGTTAAAGTGGTGCAACTCCATACATTTCTCCAGCCTGACTCTGCGTTTATTCTCCTCTCGGAAGCTTCTCCCGGGTTTAGTCTGAAAGAAGAAAGTTACTGAAATCTTGAACAACCATTCAGAGACACACGAGAACAAGGAAACAACACTGTGATTCATCCAAATATGTCAGGTTTATTTTCAGGAAAGATTCAAAATTACGCACGACTGATTCCTCAGCATCAAGACATACAAGTAGTTTATCGTTGTTTTCTCTCATCAGCTGTTAATCTTGGAACAGAGACTCTCGTGTGAAAGAAAGAACGAAGTCACAGAGTTCCTCGAAAAGGAGGAGGATTACAGGAAGGTCTCTGAGCCACAATTTATCACTCACCGTCCAGCCTCCGGACGCGCTCCACATCTCTGCTGCTGTGCGCTTTGCGGTTCAGAAAATGGAGAATAAAATAAACGGAAGGATGATCACCATGGGTGTTGCCATCGTCGATTCAACCGATACAAGAGTGGGTGACTGCAGTGAAGCCGGGTACGGTAATATTAAACTACCCACAGAGGCACAGGGTCTAACTTGCATGCCACCCTCCGTGCGTAATTTCGGTAACGCTGGCGCACTGATCCATGGGCTCCACTCCAGCGTCGAGGGTGATGTTTTTAAAGATTGTAATGTGCTCGATGGTTCTATCGCTTCAAAACACTTTTACGACCGGGGCAGTGAGTTTCTTAAGTGTGACAGTTTGCCATGGGAAGAGTTTGTAAAAGTTCAGAGGACGGATTTGGCCACGTCCGAAAGTTTGCCAGGCGCAGCGACAGTCGGAGCGCGTAAATTCATAAAAGACGAAAAGGAGCCCTCGGGAATTATGGAGACCCCGTGTCCTAACTTTGACCCATCACCGGAGATACCGGCTCTTGCCAGCTGCTGTGACTCCTACATGAAGCCGCAGCAGCTCGGGCTCGGTGACGCGGAGTCGACGAGCTTCGGGACGGCAGCCACCGCGGCTCCTCGGTCGGTGCTGGACGCTTCTCCGAACTTCCTGATGGACCTTAACCAGCCGGAGCAGCTGTCGGCGCTGGGCCAGGCGAGGGCCGACTCCAGGTGCGGGTCTACCGGGAAGACCGTCATCAACTTTGACGCCAACAATCACGCAGCAGCGCAGCAGCCGATGTTTAAGAACGAGGTGGCCCGGTGGCAGATGCCAGCTGAGCCCCAGTACTGGTGCCAGTCCGCAGCTGTGACCGACGACCCGTTCACTCTCGGCTGCTATGATGGGATCCAGACCCAGGCCCTCACCCAGAGGAACCATTTACCCTTCGCTGCATTCCCCGGGTAATTAGACCAAGTTTCATTTTTATTCCAGTTAACACAGGGTCAAAGAGTACAATGAGAGGAAGAAGACACAGGTCAGATCAGCAGTGGAATAGTTAAATTAAAGATAAAAGCAAGGTAGAAAGAGCTTCCTAGAAAATAAAGTCAAATAAAATCCAAAACAAAAACTTTAAACATTCCAAGGTGCAGCAGTGACTATTACTTTTACTATAAACTCTCACTTTTAAGTGATATGAACTTTATTGAGTCACACAAACTTTGAAACTAACTTTGTGATATGACTTAAACTCAGTAATCAATGTGAGTTCATGGTCAGTAAGTTATTAGGCAGATTATTTGCCAGTGTTGATTACGATGACATTCATGAGTCTGTTTCTGAGCATTTGGAAATAGAAAGTGATCTGATAGGGAGTCACATCCGCTCACCTTTATGCATCTCAACTGTCATCTGCACTTCATGGAAACTTGGATTCTAGTTAAATTATTCTACACATAAGTTCTTCCACTTAACAACAGGAAGCTCCTAAAAATCTATAAACTCTTTATAACCATATAATGGTCCTTATGGGTCATCATATTTAGTCTTATCTTAATCTGCAAACACGTAAAGAGGTCTCTTAAGTAAGCTTTGAATTAAGTCAAGGGTTAGACAATAAAAATAGAAACTGTATAATTTGATCAAAATTTAGTTTTTGCCTTTTTATGATACAAACTCTAGCTTTATTGAGGCGTTCTTTCATGTACTTTATCTTCTTTCTCCTCCTCAGTATGCCGCCACAGAGACAGTGTTTGATCTGCGGCGATGAGGCGTCAGGTTGTCACTACGGTGTTTTGACCTGTGGGAGCTGTAAAGTCTTTTTTAAAAGAGCAGTCGAAGGTAAGCGAAATACAGAAAACCTAATACCTGCTTCTGGAAATGTTGAGTTGCTATTTACAACTCGTTCCAAACATAATTTTGTGTTTAGTTTTTGTACACATTTCAAGATTCAAGACATCGCAAAATTTGCAAGCCACATATATAATATGTTGGAACTGGGAAATAGAGACATCATCTGCTACAGTAGATACTTAAACTACTTTATTCTATCAAGTTCTTTTTGTTTTATCAACCACTATCTCTTTGTTTTTCATCTCTCTACTTCTATCTACAACACAGTGAACAGTGTATCTATTGTTTTTGTTCTGCTGGTGCATGTGTAATCTCTCGCCCCCTTATCACTATACTCCATTACTCTATAATGTTACATTTTAAGGGCTCCTCTGAATTAAAGTTAAGCTGATTTATGAAGTCTATGAGTTGATCAGTGGGCGCTGGTACAAAGAAATTAAACCCCAAAGGAGGGATTATAGTCTCTGATATCAGCTCTCACATGCTGTGGTGCATTGAAAGGGGAGTTACCGCATCAAATTTGACTGACCTTCAATGGTAGTTGTTAAAAGGTCATTATAGCAACAGTATCACACTGACCAGTGTTCACCGTGTTCTTCGTCTCGGACTTGTTTTTCCTCGTTATCTGGGGATGTGAGATATGTAAGAGCCACTATGTCTCACCACGGCCGTGTCACTCTGTCCTCCCAGCCTTGCCTCTATCTAATTTTCTTCTTTAGATCTGTCCTCAGAACGCTGCCTCAGAGTAGAGTGGAGCAGTCATGATAATAGTCAGGAGCCCTTCAACACCCCCCACCCCCATTATGTGCCTCTACTCCTCCCCCATGTATCTGAAAATCAAAGACTGTTAAAAATCTGTGTATTTTCCCTATCCTTTCACTCAACAGGTCATCACAGCTATCTGTGCGCCGGGCGGAATGACTGCATTGTGGACAAAATCCGGAGGAAAAATTGCCCAGCATGTCGCCTCAGAAAGTGCTATCAAGCAGGGATGATGCTTGGAGGTAGCATTGGGTTGGATTTTCTTTTTCGCACAGAGCTAATGCTCCCATATGGCAGAAATGAAACAAACTATTAAATTAGTTGTGGTTTCATGATTAAAAAGACAATATATACTGATTTAAAATTTAAAGAAGAAAAAGCCCAAATTGTGCTCTTCGTCATCAAATCTAACCAGTCTTTGTATCCGTGCCACAGGCAGGAAGCTGAAGCGTTTCGGGGCCATGAAAGCCTTGGGTCTGGCCCCGTCCCTGATGTTCCAGTCCCACTTGGCCATGTCCAGCGACAGTCAGACCTTGACCTCCATGTCTTGCATACCAGGCATCCGAGAGGTGCAGCTCAGCCAACAGATCATCAATATCCTGGAAAACATTGAACCGGACGTCATGTACTCCGGCTATGACAACTCCCAGTCCGACGTGCCCCATCTCCTGCTCACCAGTCTCAACAGGCTGTGTGAAAAACAGCTGCTGTGGATCGTCAAGTGGTCCAAGTCTTTGCCAGGTAACGATCGCTCAGCTCAGGGTCACCTATTGTTGCCATGGAGATCCACTGCCTCACTGAAGGTCTCGGCCTTTAAACACTGACTCAGATAGAAGCCATGATTATTGGATATGAGACAAGGGATTCCAAGTTCTGAATAATTTGATCACATTTTCTTTTCTTTCATAGGATTTCGCAATCTTCACATCACCGATCAGATGACCCTCATCCAGTACTCGTGGATGAACCTGATGGTGTTTTCGCTCGGGTGGCGCTCTTATCAGAATGTCACCAGTGAATATTTATACTTTGCACCCGACCTGGTTCTTAGCCAGTAAGTAGAAGTTGTTAAATACATGAGACTGATGCATTTATTCAAGAACCAGCTCTTGAGATGTTGGGAAACCATTTTTGTTCTCTTTCCGTCAGGGAGCAAATGAGGAGAACTCCGATTTACGACCTCTGCCTGGCAATACAGTTCATTCCCCAGGAGTTTGCAAACCTCCAAGTCACCCATGAGGAGTTTCTCTGCATGAAAGCCATAATACTTCTCAACACAGGTAAAAGACAAATCCATTTTTCTGCAACACTGACCTTGTTTGAATTAAAAGCATTCAGCATAAAGTGTTGCAAACAGAGACGTGATGCTGCGATAACAATCTACTGTGGAGCTGCTGGACAAAAAAGGGAGTGTTGAGTGTTGCACAGGGCGACTGGACCTTGACAGGATTTATGTAGCAGCTGCTATCGAGTCCTGGTTTTACACAGACTGAAAAACACATTGTTTTGTTAAGTTAAAAACAAAAACGGTTGACTGGAACTTAATTTTTTGACATTTGTTTCTACTGTGCATGTTTGGAGAAAATCCTTTTTTGAATGTGTTTTTGTCCTGTCTGCTCCTCAGTGCCTCTTGAGGGACTCAAAAGTCAGGCAGTGTTTGAAGACATGAGACAGAACTACATCCGGGAGCTGACCAATGCGATCCACATGAGGGAGAAGGGCATGGTGGCCAGCTCCCAGCGATTTTTCCACCTCACCAAACTCATGGACACCATGCACGATGTAGGCTCCCTCTGCACAGCTGAGCACGAAAACCATAAATTCACATGTCTCAATGCAATTTGCTAAGACAAACTGTCTGCGTGTCTCTCCTCCGACAGATAGTGAAGAAGGTCAACCTGTTCTGTCTGAGCACCTTCATCCAGGCCGACGCCATGAAAGTGGAGTTTCCAGAGATGATGTCAGAGGTCATTGCCTCCCAGCTTCCTAAGGTCCTGGCCGGCATGGTGAGGCCCCTCTTATTCCACAGCAAATGACGATGCCAGCGTAGACGTCACGACCCTGCGGAGACATCCTGCGACTGGATTACTCAGCAACCCACCGATTACAAATGTAGTCAGTCATCTGTAATTTGCCAAACTGCCTCTGATGCTCTTTATGAGGTGAACTACAATGAACATGTTCCTTAAAAATACGTTTTAAGTCCAGAACCATCTTGAATATTATAAATTCAGAGGCATGAATCAGTGAAGCTCCTCTGTATGATTCTAGTGCAGCCGTCCTCTTCGAGAACCTCTAGAGATAGAGATATTTTTGTACTACAGCATAAATATTCAGTGTTTCTAACCCAAAGTGTTCCCTCAATAAAGGAGACGTGCAGGAGACACAGAAAGCTGCCACTTTAAGTAATCGTGTTATTTTAGGGTTAACAGCACCTTCGTCAGGGAGGAAGACAACTCTCATGTGTTTAAACCAAGACCCAACAGTCCCGTTAAATTCAATCAATCTGCACCAAATTGCACACATGTGTAAATGTCAGATTTTTTTCATCAAGATCCATGAATTATTACCTGGTAATTCCCTTGATCTGCAACAAAATGTAATGGGTTCTTCCTTGGGACCAGAAAATTACACAATATATAATATATACAGACAAACATAGCCTCTGTGGTGGAGGACAGAAAACTACAACATAACTGTGTAAGTGATATGTGGAGTCTATGCACATCTCCACCTACACAGCTCAGTGCCCTACATGTGTTATTTTTATAATAGAAGAGATTTTTAATTTTCTAAATCCACATGGATATACACACACTGATGGATGTTAGTAGGATGCATGTGATGGATTGAGTGTGTTTATGTAGTCTTGAAATCCTTAAAACTAACGGACTTAACTTTAAACTAAATTCTATTTAAGTGAAATAAAAATACCTGCCTTGACAAAGGACAAAAATGTGCAATAAAACAAATTTAACTGTGGAGAGGAAAGAACCTATATCATCAGTTTAATCCTGAGATTTATTTCTGTGAAAAGCACGTCTATGTTTTAAAGTAGGAAGAGATTCAAGCCTCCAACAGCTAAAACGTTTAAGATGTTTTCCAGGTTGAATTTCAAGTTCCTCGTTCCAGCAAACAAGTTCTACTCTGACAAAGAATATGGAAGCGCGGGTGTAATGAATCACGCTATTTATTTATAGACATGTTCATGCACCGTTAAGACACAGTAGATGATTGCAAGGAAACAAGCTTACCAATATATAAAAGAAATAAAAAAATGATGCCAAGTGATTACATATTCAGGATACTGATGTCACTTCCGCCATCTGAATTCAGACTGTAGGGGAGTATTATTCCAAGGTCACTTCACATTCTTAAAGATGTAAATGGAAAAGAACACTGTGATCTTGGCAACTGCCAGATCTCAAATACCTTCAGAAATACATTTTTCCTGCCACAGAAAGTTTATTTTTGGAGTAATTTATTCAGTTCGTAATAACTGAAGAAGAAAATTATTTATTGTTGTTATTTTTCACTTTTTAGATCATGAAGAACTTTCTACTTTGGAAAAGTTTCGACAGTGGCAGAAAATTAAATATTAAATGGCGTCTTTAACACAACACAGTCGAATACATTGTCATTACTAGTACACCAGTGTACCAGCGAGTTAACGTACCAAGCATCAGAGCTGAAGGTTTCACCTCATGAACGAAGCGTTCGTGACGTTATAAAAACACTTTTTTTACACATGGCGTATATTTGATGTGATAAGAAGTAAATATTTTTTGATTAGCGACTACAGGAGAACATATGAGCTTTAATGTACAGTACAGTACTGTGTAGCTAACCAGAAAGTGCACTGCAGCAGTGAGCAGGTTCAGTGGTCCAACAATGATCACAGGCCATACACATGAGAGTTAAGGTGCAAAAACCCCATTATTGCTTTTACTCATAGATTAGATTAATATCCTTACTTTAAAAAAAGATCACAGTTTGTTCAATTACGGTTAATACAGAAATATTTATGAAACTGTGCAGATTTTCATGTAGCACTTGCTGAAAGTTTATGTTGATATAACGGGAAGTTTAAAGATATATTATTATTACATATATAATAAAACTTGTGAAATTGATTGTGATTTTTTTTGTGACTCTGAAAGGTTAAAACTGGGACTAAAAACATCAGTGCAGTCGACGGGTCATTACATATACAAACATTTACATCCATCAATAATGTCGTACTTATTTTTTTCTTGTTTTTCATGTCACAATGAAGTTGTTAAAGAAAATGGAGGTACATTTTGGACTTTGAACTTTTAGGACTGTTAATAGGTTGTGTTAGAGTCGAACTTACTGATATCAAGGTCAGATTTTGCAATGATTTCAATCAAAACACTGCGCTCGCACTCAAACAGCCTCTGCTTGTGCTCAAGTGCGCAGATATTTTGTTGCTTGGGCAGATTTCCTGTGTTCCAGTTTAAGCTATTCTCCTCGCCAGGTGTAGTGTTGATGAAGGGAATTGTCTTTAATTAGCTTTACTTCTCTAAGAGTCCTTTGTGGGCTGAAGGAAAAAAACGACGACACCTTCACGGATCAGGAGTCCAGCAGATTCCTGGTTTAACATGGAACTGCAATATCAAGGATCTTAAGTTTTATTTGGTTACTCTTCATAGCAGCTATAGGAACAATATATACGCCGTTCTGCTTCTATGTGGCAACTACACCTTGTATTCTATTGAATTTTGACAGATTTGTTGCACAAAAACAACTGAGGAGAACTCAGAGAGCAGACTTAGCACACGAACACGCAGAAGCAGCATGAGGGGGTGAGCAGCAATCTTTCCGAGCAACAAAATATCTGAGCGCGAGCACACAATTTGAGCACAAGCGGGGGTATTTGAGTGCAAGTGAAAGCGTTACAAAATCTTAACGTGAAATCAATAAAATCCTGCGCTCAAACTGAAACACCACGCTCTCGAATAAAGATGTTAAAACAATTACTGCTCTACTTGAAGAATACATAAATTGCAGAAATGTTGGTTGTCAGCGATAATGGCAGCACGGCAATGAACAACAACCAACCACATCTGCATTCTTTTTTTTCTTCCATGGATACCATGAAAAAGATGCAGCGTTAACCACCTGTTAGAGGAAGACGACATAATTCTCAGGGATTAAACCGGTTTTTCCCTCGTACGTTGCTTGGAGCCAGCCTGGTTCAACAGAGGGGTAAACTACAGGAGGAAAAGAGAGAACAAAAAAAATACTTCAGTGAAAGAAAAAAGAAGCACATTAAGTGTAATCTGATGAGAATCGCTGGATTTGTATTTAATTACGTTATTTCCCAGACTTGGTGAATACCAGCGGAAAAAAACAAAACAACTAAAGACGCTATTACGCAGACGAATAAACATTTAAAGCAGATCAAGGAAGCCTCGGGGTCAGGCTGCTCATTAATTCAGTCCCTGCAGAGTATTATCAGGCTTGAACATGGGATCATCTTACTTAATCACACACTTAGAGTAGAAACAATGAGGTAAAGGATAGCTGAGATTCATCAAAATTAAGTTTTAATAATGATCAGATTTGCTGAATAAGGAGGAGGCCTAATCGGCCTGTAGACGCTGAGAGCTGTAAAAGTGCTTTGGCCTCTGGTAAATGCTGGGGAGCGTTTGTTGACGTTTCTACGTTTGGCTGCTGGCTCTGTTGGCTGTGTTAACAGGGAACAGGCACTGGTGCCTTCCATCTCTAGGTTGCAGTGACCTGCCTGCACTGGTTGTGGGCCAAGTCATCTCTTCATGGAAAAAGCAAAGGCAATAAAAAATCCCAGGGGCTGTTTGTTTCTTTAGTTAATGCATGGGGGTGTCACGCTAAGAGCAAAATTATTTTATGCCTCCACACAACACTGGGAATTGGCCAAGTGCTCGCTGCCAGTACATGACAGACTGCCTGTGTGCACGGCTCAGATGTCCAGTCAGCCTACGCAAGGAGGCATGTGTGCTGTGGTGAGAAACTGCTGCAGCACAGTTTCCCCTCTGTCCTCTGACTCTGCTCACCGTTTGAGAAGTGCGCCCCCTGGGGGAAGCTGAGCTCGTGGCTGTGCTCTGCCTCACAGGAGTACATGGCCTTGGCATCTCTGTGAAGACAGGCAAGCAAATAAAAAAAAACAGGGAATGTCAGGAAAGATGAGAAGAGATGAGAACAAGGTCGGGGGTTAATTAAGTCAAAACTGCTGTGTTGTGGTTTTAACGGCACCTTCCGACTGGAACAGACTGCAGGGAAGGGATGTTTTCAAATAGCAGGGCTCTGGCAGCAACCCTGCAACCATTACAAACACAACAGAGATCGTTCAACTTGATTATGTCAAGGATTACAAACATATTTTGTCATAGAAAGAAAAACAAGTCCCGTGATGAGATGATTAGAAAGCAATACTATTATTAATCTATTTGATTGGCAGTGCTGCCCCAGAGACAAACTCAACCCTATCTGACCTTTTCTACCTAAAACAGGTCTGTCCACTTTCTCTCGGCCGTGCCAGCATTCCTCATTGTCTAGAAGGAGGTGAGAGGCGGGAGGTTTCCTTCCTCCGGGCGGACCAAGCTTCAGCACGCACATAAACCAAGTTAAAAAACATTTAACAGGGCTGCTCTTGAACCTGCACACCACAGCCCCAGAGTCAAGGGGACAGCTGGACCGTGGGCGAGCCGGGTGGGTGCTATACAAGGACACTACTTGAGATACCACGTGAGCAGCTTCTCACACACGACAAGTCAAACAATCTATTCGTCCCGGGAGAGTGAGCTCAGACGGCTGCTGGGTCACGTCAACCCAGGAGCCGGTTGAGCATAATTAAAGCCAGCTCTCCCACCATAGAGGAAAAGACATAAATCTGCTCACACATGCTCATGTGATCTTAGAGACCTCTCAATGCTCTGCGCTCATAAACAGATGGAGGAGGAGGTGGAGACAGGGAGTCGTGTCTCCATGACTTTAATTTCCTGGAAACTCTCACCGTAATCACTAATTGGCTTTTCCCAACTTTTACCACCGACCCAAAAATCAACATTCGCCCAATAGGAGAGAAGACTTTTTTTTATCATCAACATGCCCAAAGAGAATATTATGTGTATGGAGTGTTAGCATAATTAATAAAAATCGTTTGGTTGATTGATGAAAACATAGAAAAATGCCTGGTGTGTTAACATTTTCAGAGCCAAGTTAGCTGCTTTGAATCACTTGTTTTCAGTCTAAACCCAGAGATGTCAGATTTCCAAGTGAAACAAGTGACCTACTTTAAAATAAGGCAGAGCAATAAAGAGATATCTATATTTATCACAATAGAAATATAACAACATTCCAAATAAATATCAATATATTGCTTATGCATTTTGCACAATGAGGAATAGCCCATCAGATTTGTAAAATAATTTGCTGTTTATCAAGTTAGAGTTTAGAAAAACTTAAAAGAAGAAAATATTGTGATATTTATCTTGATAATTAAAAATAAAGACTGATTTGAATTTTCTTTTATCTTCATATAATTTTTATGCCCAAATAGCTGCTTCCAGAGATGCACTGAACTCCGGAGATGAGCACAATGATACTAACGATTCAGATTAATCAGAAGCACTAATCCAAAGTAATAAGTCTAAGTTACACTGAGCCAGGTCTTTGGTATCCGTTGCCAACTGAGTTGTCCAGCCTGCGGCGGATGACTTGTTTGGGTGGCAGGTCTGGGTGCTCCGCAGGCTTTAGAGTCTCTCTGGGCTCCAGCGTTGACAGATTTTGGACAGATCCAGAGCAGCTCCTGTGGCCTTGAGGCAGAGACACAAATAATAAGTTCTGTCTGCTAGTAAATGACAAAAAGATACTAAAAAGTTTGATACCCCGAAACACACGCGGCATCGAATAACTCAGGAACTGATCCATGTCAGAAATATTTTAATGCAGGTATTTAAATCATGCTTTAAGGGGAGGGGGTGCTATCACTCTTTGAAATTACAACGTCCTGGAGGAATAAGTTATGACAATAAAACAATCCAGTTTACGAATCCAGACTTGAAAATGACACTTTCATGAGGTTACTTTCCCCTTCATTACTGCCAGGGAAACATAATCGATGCAGTAATGACAGGCAGGCCTGACGGATTACTCCATGGTTGTCCCACCTTCAGATATATGCAGGGATTTCAGGGAGGGAGCAGGTGAACGGCTCGGCAGCGGCGGCCTGAGATCGGTGCGGAAGTGTGGGGCTTTTTTCGGTGCGGGAGACAGCCTGGGTGCTGTGCTGACTGAACACAAGCTGAGAGCATCCTCCGACTCTCCGTCTGTACGACCCGCGTCCTCCCTGGAGCTGGACTCGGGGCTGCTGACACACACGGTGCTTTTGGGGCCGTTTGAGAGCTGCGACGGCGTCCGGCAGAGGTCCAGGTGCGACTTCTCCTTCACCTGAGCAGAGGAGGCGGTTTTGGAGGAGGTATTCTGCTCAGAGGAGTGGGAGGACAGAGACTCCATGCTGCCCATGGGGGTGCTGCCCGGACTGCTGCTCAAAGTGTCACCTATGCAGGGACCAGGGAGGAGGAATACAAAGCCCTCATTAAAACCTGCTTTGTGAGGAGGTGGTTCATTTATGACTTAAAGAAAATCCCTCTTCTCACAAGATAATATTCCTTCAGCTTTCTGTTTATTAAGCCAGCTCGTTAGAAGGGGAATCCGTCAGAAATTGTGCAGATGTCTGAGAAATATTAAAGGCCCCTGACACATTTTGGCAAATGGTGGTGTGATGACCTGCGGTGGCGATCACCGCTTTGGTACTCACTTTCTGCGTCTGCCAGACAAAGTGTTGGGGTGTAGAGGCTGCGGGGCTTCCTGGGCCCCGTCGACAGACAGATGGCCCTGCTCCTGCGAGGGCCTGGCCGGCTCAGCGGCTGGGGCAGGGGCACGTTGGGGTCCGGAGGCTGGTGGAAAATCTGGTGGAGATCCATGAAAGAATATTGAGGTTGTATTTCAGGTGGGGTTTTGAGGTTTCAAGACTGTGACTCACCTTGTTGAAGTTCTCGATAAGTATTTCCACCACGATATTCTGGAACTTGATGTTCATCATTGCGGCCACAGTCTCCTCTTGCGAGCGCATCAGGGTGGGTCCAAAGATGACACCCAGGTTGGACACTGTCATCAGGTTGCACTGGTTTTGTGTGGAAACACTGCAGGTCGACACAATGGGAATCACACGCTGCTAAACACAAACTCTATTGTGCTACCGATTTATTCCTCACTAGATAATAACAGTTTTAGGGACACGTCACATTTATGATATATAATATAATCAGTCATAAAATGTTTCAATTGTCTCCCCTGGGGATGTGACGGATTCACTGCTGAAATACGTACACGACGAGGTGTTTTAAAAGCAGCTCCAGCATTTCTTTGTTCCTCTCGGGTAGCTTGTGCACCAAGGCGTGGACGGCACACACCCGGTAGTTCTGATCATCTGACTCTAAGAAAGGCAAATTGATATAAAATTATTAGGATGGGGATATAGCCTTTTTTCCAGATCTATCCAATAATAATAATCCTATGATCACAGAATAGATTATTCTGACACGTATGGATGCAGTTAATTCATCTACTAAACATAAACTGAGTCTGACTGTCTGTATGTGACTCGTATCTCTCCACAATCTTTCATCTCATCAGTCTCACATGTAAGGTGTCGACTTTGTGTGCGATCTGGAAATGCAACAGCTCTTTGCGCAGCAGCTCTTTGCGCAGCAGCGGCAATCGCTGCAGGTCCCTTTTACAGTTTCAGAAAGAAAACTGCAACCAGCATCACCACAGGCCGAGGAAACAGCTCGTTAATTACAGACATGTTTAGAGCGGGGACGTCACTAGAACTTCAAATTGTGGTTGAAAACAAAACAAAAAAATTCCACATTGAAGTTTCAAGCTATGTCTCGCAGTGAAGAAAGAAACCAATGGGCACAGATTTAACCAATTTAATTTCTCAGTTTGAAATTTTTTCGGCACACATGGCACGCAGCCATTTTCTGAGATGGAAAGAGTTTAATTGGTGCAATCGTTGCTTGTTTGAATCTTCCTACTGTCAACGTGTCCACAAAGCTGTTGAAATGAATTAACTTAAATCGTGGTTCAGTTCAAAGCCTCTTGCTCTTTAAACAAAGTGAAAGATGTGCTACTTCCTGGAACAAATATGATTACAATTCAAACTTTCTTCAGTAAACTGATGTGAGTGTACTCTGCTAATTTAATAATCCCTCACGTATAATAATGAAAGTATTACTGCTACAATATGATTATTAGTAACTGGTCATAACTTACTGACAGCCATGATAAAATCTTTGTGGAGCTTGAAGGTCATTAGAGGCTCGGAGAGACACCTGATGAGTAAAGAGAAGAGTTTTTATTCTCTGAGTGACACAGCTCTTTTCAACACATCCACCTTCCCCTCATGTGTGAGTCAGTGGCAGTGCTGAATGCATGACTAACACCTGCAAGGTTTCAAAGAGACATTATGGAGATAATGATGATTCCTGACAGCTGAGGACACACAGCTGGCAGGGCGAGCTGACCTGAGGTAATTCTTCAGGCCGCTGGTGATGGTTTTGTTGTCCCACGTCTCCGGGTCCAGGTCCATATCCGCAGGTGCCTTGGAGGCTGTTGGGGAACACACTTTGTTTTTATATCTCCACAACGATTAAGCTGTAAACTGTCTGAAGAAAGCGAGGCAACCTGACACGACCCGCTTTAAAACGGGCATTAAAAATACAGACTGTCTCCTTGTGTAAACTGACTCGAGAGGAGACTTTGAAATATATGCAAGTGCACGGGAAAAACATGTGTGTTGTGTCACAGAGACGGAGATCAAGTTTTATTATTCAGACATTTTTTTAAATGTATAAAACGTTTGCAAACATGATGACAAGGCCAGATGGCTGTTACTGTCTCACGCCACAAGGAGGACCTCTTCTCTCACTCTACAGGGTCACATTAGGTTTGTTAAAGCACTAGATTCAACCTGAGAGGATGGAAAATAAAAGACAATAAAAAAAGATAATGGCCACCCAGGTATTTAGAAATCACAGAATCATACCTGCTTGTTTTGCTGCATGTCATGTGAGAATGATGTTAAATATAAACAGTATAAAGAAACAGTGAAAGGGAAAGAGAGAGAGAAACTCTTCTGTGCTTGATGAATACTGTTAAAATGGGTTTTGGCTCATTTTTACCCAATTCTGCTGCAGGTCTGTGAGTACGAATGTGTTTTTTTGTGATATCAAGGCTACTTACAAAAGACCGTAGTCATCAGCCTCTGGACTTTGGAGTTGACACCTCCGATTCTGTACAGCCCCAATGTGTTTATGCCTGAGAGACCAAAGAAAGAAGGGAATTAAAGAAGTGGAACGAGCAACAAAGACAAACCAAGGCATCGCGTCACCACGTCCACCGATGAATGAATGCAGCGCATTGTTATTCACAACCACCGTGTGCTGTGTTTGAATGCCTCACCTCTCACCTCCACCAGGTCAATGCATTTCCGTACGAAGTTAAATCCCGCCTCATTAAGAAATGCTGTAATACAACAGGAGGAGAGGGTTCAACACACATCAGTCACAGTCTGGGTTAACCACGCATCCTGCAGGAATAATAAGCTCTGCCCGTGCTGCTGCTCTGACTAATAAGATATGACACCCCCCTCCCGTGCTAGAAGGCTCTGTGATGTCAGCTGAGTGTGTGTATGTCAAGTGATTGTGTTAATGAACACACATGCTGTAGCCATAGGTAACAAAATATGTTATTTTATATTATGTGTGTGTGTGGATTTGATCACAACCCTAAAAAGATGAATTCAATGAAAGAGGCACTTACTTTCTTCTTTTTAGGATTCATTTAAAATCAGGAAAGAGGTTTTAAAGAAAAAAAACACTTACTCTCTTCTCTTTTGCTCAGAATGGCCGGCAGGTTGTAAATCTAGAGAAAGGTTGCAAAAATCATTATTAAACCACTTTTTCACAAAACCAGGAAGAAGAAGAATTATGTCACACAGTTTGTTTTCCCAGTGCTCCTTGACTGTTCTATTATTAGCACAAGTGGATGGTGAGGTCATGGTTTCTATTCTGACCTGCACCAGTAGAGGACGCCAGTGACGGAGAACAACACTTAAATAAAACATCCTGGGCAAACAGCAGCAAGCACAAAATGAATATTTCAAAGACAATCTGGCGAGAGTTCCTCACCGGCTCCTTGCCATCCATGGCCTCCAGCCACGATCTCCTGTTGGCCTCCGACAGTGCCTGCAGTGTCATAACGCCATGCCTGGACAGATTTCAGAGAAAAGCTGGTCTCAGTCTGATCTCATTGCCGTTGGGGCCCTGGACAGAGCATGTTTACACTGGCTGAAACCACTATAAAAGGACTAGTGCGACTAAAATAGCTCGTGTGCAAATTCTTGCCCTCAAACGAGCGATGCCCTCGCTTGGCTCTGTGCGTTTGCATTCCACACCCCGTCATTAAAAGCTACGTGTGCTTGATGTTAGAGTGATTCCTTGATTTGCACCCAACATGCACACACCGTCACCTCCTCACGCATAAGCATTTGTTGCACTGCCTCGGTTGATATGACTTTGTCTGATGATACTTGGAAAAAAAAATAAAACTCCACCCCACCAGTAGTGTAAATTAGTGCGAGCATGGAGCCAGGTCAGGTTGCATGTGTTACAATTCATATAACACATGCACACATGCAATAAAAATAACCCGTGGGTATTTTGCCATGCAGATAGTTTGGGATTTATTTGACCAGGTTTTAAGATTTCTGCACAGTGGATGTGTGTTTATGAAGAATCCATTGAGACCCCCATTACTCTCAACCCATAAAACAACCTGGTACCACTTTTCATTGTATGGTTGAAACCTGGTGACAGATCTGTGGATTACTGGGGACACTCATTCCAGACATGTTGCTGTAGATTTAAAAAGTTTTCAGTGTATTGAGGATCTAAAATTGAACACTGCTCATAGACTATTTCTTTGTCAAAAGGGATTTTTTTACTGTACAGGTTAGCACAATGAAAATAATAATAAAGAAGAAAGTACAGCTAATTTGAATGCGACCCGAATATCATTCCAAAACCCGCCCAAGTCATTGGGTCCTGACAGGTCACGCTTGGGTCAGGTATCCACGCTCTACTGTTATGGCTGACTGAGACATTTAACCATAGACTGTTTATAAAGACAACACGTCTCCACTGGCTCCCATTGTACAAAAACAAATCCAAAAATCCTGGTCATTCTGCCATCTTGTGCTTTTGACATCATTGTCATAGAGTCTGTGTGAATGAATATCTAACAGGACTAACACCATCTTTGGAAAGAATGACTTATTATTAAAGTGTACTTTTTGGGAGCTGTCATGTAGTCCATCTTAATGCACTGTCTATGGAAGGGGCTGAGCCAATATCGAAATAATTTGTGGCTTCTCAGCTTTTACCAGTCAAAACATCTTCTATCTTCTTATATAGGTCAATTGGGCTGAATGTCAAAATCTGAGCAAATAAAATGAAAATACCTTCTATGACAAAATAAATAAGTAGTGTGGGTGTAAACACCCTTGACGTTCGGCCTGCTTCTGTCTGGGCTGTGGGTGCAACAGCATGTTTATTATAACAAGGATAAATGGATGAGCCTGAAGATGACTGGAGCTTGGCCCGCATTGTCCTTGTGGTTGGAGTAAGCACCTTGGGGCATCGCTGTTTATGATAAATGAGTTGTCCTGCAAATAAACTGCAGTTATTGTCCATGCTCAGCAACTTGCCAAGGGTGAGCGGTGGCGGCGGCCCGGCTGGTGCGACGCAGCAGCAACACATGGTGATGAGATAATTCTATAATATTCAGAAGCTCACATCATAATAATGAGCTCATATCAAGCTTTCATGGATTTGGCTTGATCAATGCAGCCGCTTTTAATCAGCAGGGAGCCGCTTTCAGGTGTTTGATGCTCGGCCAATCTCTTATCCCGCTGCCCGGTCACAGTACAAATCAGTTTTGAATATTCTCATAAATCAAAAGAGATTTCAAACCTCAAACATGATTAATTGATTATTGGAGTAAGACAATTTTACAGATTATTAGAGTAACTTTAGGACAATTTTAAAGGTTTCAAAATTTGAATTGGATTTCATCAGAAATTTGAGATTGTGGCGTGAGTGCAACAATTAGCAGAACGTTCATGCAGCACATGCAGCACTGGTCAGTTCACATACCGGACTTTATAGAAAAACTGAAGCGGTCTGAAAAGAGTTCCACGACAGATGTCATTTCTACATTCACACGAACACAGAGAAAAAGACGGGAGTTGGTTTTAGAAGCAGAGCAAATATGGAAGTCGTGTACAACAACAAACAAGAGCGAGAGATAGAGAGGGAGACAGAGGGAGGGAAAGAGAGAGAGAGAGAGACAGACAGACACAGAGAGAGAGGGGGGGGGACTGGAGGAACATGCAGGACACAAACAGCTGAAAACATGTAACACTGGTCAACAGAGAGTCTTTGAAGATGTGAATCAAACCATGTTCAAATGCTGTTTACTCCCCATGATAATCTGGGTTAATTGCCAATATCAGTTGAGTTCAATAGAAGGAAAAATGCATGAGGACAAAACATCAACTAAACTTCAATCTTAAAATATGTTAAATGTAAATTAACCACTGTGACCATTTTCAAAACTTACATTTAGTTAGTGTTGCCATGATGAGGTCACTATATTATAATCAATATAACATTTTTATACATTGCATTGTATATAGTAAAGTAAATCAGACTAATACACTGATTTGTGGATACTGAATCATTATAATTTTTTGTGTTCATTTGTTTGTCTTTTAGTTGGCAGACTTATTCAGAAACTGCATAACCAACAATACCTGGTGGAATGATGCTGTATGGGTCAAGTAAGAAGCCACTAAATATTGGTGCAGCTCAAGATCAGGGATCAGATCCAGGATTTCTTTTTTCTTTATTATTGTGAGATTCAACATTCTCCTTGACTTTTTAATAATTCATAGATCTTGATGATAAAAATCAATGGCGTGTTCAAGGGATATCTGTGTTTGCAATTTGGTGCAGATCCAAATAAAAATCCAGATCTAGAGAATTTGATTGTTGTTTCATGATGGGACTGTTGGGCCTTTGCGGAGGATATTAAATGTTTTATTCAAATTCATAAATATCAGGTTCTGTGTTTTCAGATCAGGCAAAATGTTTGAACACATTCAGAGCATGTGGATTACTCAGACAGTCACAGACCTCTCCACCACTTCGATGTCAAAGCAGAATCGCTTGTCGATGGAGTCGGTTTTCCTTCGAATGCAGGATCTGAGCTTGAACATTTCCGGCTGGTTCAGGACAAGACCGTTCTAAAATAATACAAAAAAACATTAATAAACAGCCTCTGAACTGAGATGAAAAATAGAAACATGAATCCGCTTGCTTGGACTCTGCCGTTGCAAATGCAAAATGTTGATACGCGTCTAAAAACAGAAATATGATTGTTTAATTAATGCATTAGAAAAAATACAGGACGGCAATGGTTTGATTTAATACACAAAGTATGAAACAATTATAACTCCATTATTTGATCAGCACAAACCCTCATCTAAACTTCAAGGTTATTTCCCTTTTCTTGTTATTTGTGGCTTCGAGTTAAGTCTTTTGTGTTTTGAGGCCAATTTGCAGTTCTGTCATCTTGACTTTTTTTTTTTCCTTCCTCTGGGGGTGAGACATTCTTATCAGCCTCAAAAGGATTCTGATTTCACCCACACAGATCACAGTCTTTTCTCAGCTTGTTTTTGCAACTAAACCTAAGCAAGCTTCATTAGATTAAACTACCTGTTTCCCGGCCGACTTGTTTTCTGTGTTGCTCATGGCGAAGGTTTTGCTGTCTTTCTCATACGTGCAGTAGTGACGAATCCATGTGCATCCCAGAGGACCTGGGACAAAAATATAGAAGACAAAATGAGCCAAAATATTTTTCTCTGAAACGCAGACTTCTGGAAGGACTTCTGAAAATCAATTTGCAATTAAAGCATGATGAATCAAAAGTTGTTTATGAGTGCTGATAAAAATCTATCATTTGTGGTATCACCCCCCCCTCCTTGTTTGAGAGCACATCAAAGCGAATCCGAGAACCGGATGAATTATGAGCTCTGTGTCAGACGATCTCATGTGCGGAGGCCTGGGAGAAACTCAAGGCATGTTTATGGTGATGGATGCATAACCGTGCACTTAGAAGTGAGGCGCAGGGGGAGAGGGGGAGAGGGCGAGAGGTCCGAGCTGGCCGGGAGCCCAGTCTGAGAGACTCACGTTTCTCCTGGACGTACAGGAAGCCCTCCATCGTCCACTGGCCCGGGGGTTTGTAGTCCTGATCCGCGGACCTTATCCTCTTCATCAGCTTCTCCACTTCCTGCTTGGTGCTCACAAAGTTGTTTCGTGTCTGCGCGGAAAACATGGGATTGTGTTAGAGATCAGACATCTTGTGTACTGTGTGATTTCTCATCTCGGAAATATCCTTATTTTGCCAGCGACTACAAATAACTGAGGATTCACAAACAACGGGCAAATGATTCATATTTGTGCAGCTGCATGAGAACACCTGAGAGAAAGACTAACACATTGGGAAGCTATTTGGAAAATACAAACACTGCATCTTATCCAAACACATTCAATTCATAATAGAAGAGGATGATGCCAAATTAGGAAAGAGACTCTGTCGTTGATGCTGCAAGAAATCTTCTGTCTTTTGAGAGAAGATGAGAGAGCGTCACCTTCTCCAGCTCCTATTGGAGCTCTCTGTATCTGAGGACACAGAGAGAGGGTTATGGAGTGGAAAGTTTCAGGGCAATGACGCTGACACTTTGGGTCAAAGTGAAATTTTGGCCCCCGGGCGGCAGGAGGTGAGGTCATAGTGATAGAAGGAGGCAGAGGGACATGTCAGCAGCTGCAGTTTAACTCAAAAGTATTTATTTCTTGACACAGTGGCATTAAATGGGTGACTGCCTGCAACACAACACTCTGAAAACACATATCCATTTGTGAAAGCTCTTGCTTGTTGTATCGGGCCATGATAAGCTGCAGAATGTGATTACGTGGCTGGTTGCCTTTGCGTACAACCTCGAGTTGCTGAGACTTACGTTCTGCAGGTTGAACTGGAGCTGCTGCTTGTACGGCTCAAACTCGTGAGCCAGCTCGTATCCTTCGTGGTAGAACGTGAACAATCCCTGAAGAAAGGCCAGGAGCTGCAGAGGAACAATATTTAAGGGTGATTCATAAAGAATACAGAGCCTGATCACCAATTTACACAAAGACAGCATATTTTAGAAATGGTTTACTGCAGCTTGGAATAACCTTTTTAAACACAAGAAACAATAATCACATTTAAAATCACATTTGACCATGTATTATGATTTTCCATCCGTCAATCATCTGTACCACTTTTCCTTTGCGGGTAGCAGAGGGAGCTTGAGCCAGTCCCAGCTTTTCACTATTTACTCACATTTACAATTACGGTCAATTTAGAGTCTCCAGTGAACCTAACCCTGATCTGCATGTCTGTGACTGTGGGAGGAAGCCCTACACAGACGAGGGGAGAACATGCAAACTGCACAGAGAAAGACCCCGGCCGAGATGACAGTGCGAACCACGGCACCACCATGCAATCACAATTATCATTTTATAGCTCACAAACATGGGATCATCTGCAAAAACCTATAATTTGCTTTAACTACGTGCTGTCAATCATAGCTTATAGATAGTCACACTCTCACACTTTTGGAGTAAATTAAGTCAAAACCTAATTAAATTTTAATTGAACATTATTGTACTTTGTAGAAAATATAATTAACGGATCTGTTTAAATTAAAAATTCCAAGTGGATATTACACACAGGCTGAGAGCCACAAAAAGAAAGTAACAGAAAGTTGGGCTTCTGTATGTCTGACAGATACTGATCTTTTTTTCTGTATATCACACAAACATTACTGACTGTTGCGGAAAAGGCAGCGACAGTATTGTTGAAGGAAAAAGCTGATCCCATCTCTAGCATATAGGATCCCCCCAACACAGAGCCACACTGAGCCACGTCCTCAGACACAACCGCTGATTTGATTTCTGGGATGAGGCTTGGTATATCAAATGTTCAAGGATGAACCATCTTATCTGTGACCAGATTCATCACAGGCAAGGCTGAGCCTTGTCATTTCCCCCCAGCACTACCTGGGCCCGTAGATTTAAATTTCTGGCCTAGGTTCCGGGTGAGCTGCCAGTAGATGTAAACAAATGGGAGTGGGGGCTTTAAAAACGGTCACTTTGCTCCCATCTCACGTTCCCTGACATTTAAAACCTCGAGAACGTAATGTTTCCTGGAAACTTCCCGACTAAACATGTTAGAATCGACGGCTTTTATCTGTACGGTGGGGGGGGGGGCTTAGATTTGCTTTAGTTGTGTTTAACAACAGCCAATTTATTTAAATATACACACACAATCCCCCAAAGAACTGACAATAACACACAGACACTGTGTGATGAAGATGATACATGTGTGGAATATATAAGCACCGATATATGATTTAAAAAGCTTTAAATAATCTTTGCACATGTATCAAAGTGGTTAGTTTGAATATATTCCACACACATTCCACAAAGCAATTACAGCATCTTTGATATGCAGTCAACACAAACTGAGCAGGAAATGTGTGAAATCCTCTCACCGGCTCAACAAACTCAAATTTCTTCTTTTCTTGCACTTCTTGTATTTTGAAGACGTACTCGAGCGACGCGTCATAAAAGAGTTGCCTCTCCTTGTCAATCTGTGCGTCGGCCTGGGAATGAACAAACAAACCGGGGTCAGTGCCACAACAAAGACAGGGGTCAAGCTGGGGGAGCAGAGAGTTAATGCTCACACCGCCACCTGGAGACCTTGTGTGCTCAGAGAGCTAATGAGCAAAGAGGGGCACACAAACAAATAGCTTTATTTTTAGGTGACACCCAGCCAACCACAAAACAGCATTACTCAAAGACATGATAGGAATGAAAGAAGTTGTTTTGGATTTACCTCCTGTAGATACGCCTCCTTCTTTTTGGATGACAAGCCGAGGTGCCTCTCAAGTGTGGAATAGTATTTCTCCGTTTCCTTATCGAATTTCTTCTTCCCCTCCTAAAAAGATGCACGAGACACATGAAAGGATTAAACGCTTTACCAGAAAATGTCATGTATCTTTACTGTGTGTGTGTGTGTGTGTGTGTGTGTGTGTGTGTGTGTGTGTGTGTGTGTGTGTGCTCAAGCTGCCACTAGGTGGAGGTCTAACTACATTTTCACATGCCACCAGCCACATGTCATTTGAAATTCATGTCAAGAGATTATTACGAGCCATAAAAGTGGCATATGAGCGTGTAATGACGAGCAGGCACTGCCGGCATGGTCAACAAGGACTGTGCATTATCAATAGGGCTTCTGAGAAATATACGCTATTATTCTCACAGTAGCCCAGCTGGGGATGGAGGTTCACAGCAAAATACCTAACACTGTAAATCATCAATAGCATAATGCATTTGGCGCTGTCACAGCTGGGACTGGCTGGATGCCGTTTGAATTTTCCTCCGTCGTTATGCACCACCTGCAAAGACAAGTCAAGCTCTGTAGTCACGATGGTCCCAGGACTCCGACAGTGTCCCACAAGGCTCCTAGTGGGGAACAGGAAATGGGCTTTTCATGCCAGATGCCCATCTATAGAGCATATGGACTGAGAGATTGAAAAAATGCACCCCCCCCCCCCAAAAAAAAATCTGTATCAACCACTTCGCAGGCATTAATCAAACTCTACCCAAGCAGAGAGGACCTGCCTGCGTGAGGGCATCCAAGTCATCTCATCTGCAAGTCTGACCTCTAAACGAAGCTTTGGCCACTTAAGGTCCAACTCGCTGTGCAAACATTCATAAAGTGGCTCGGGGCCGAGGCCGGAAAAGTTCGGAGGCAGTAACCAGATCTCGCTTGTTTGTTTTCATTTCCACAGCCCTGAAATTTAGCAATTCTAATCTACTAGTATGCTACTGATATGACCTAGAACAGGGTTCCGCCTCAGCAACCACCACAGCATCTGAAACACACCGGAGGGATTCAGCACAAGACACTGTGACCCTCCTATATAACTATTACAAGTACAGCACAAAAATCAATAGATAATCTCATGTAGTAGCATCTTATTTCCATCTTCCTTGTCATGTCTGGCCTGGGAAAGATCTTCTCAGGAGTAGGAGGAGGAGGGGAAATAAAATCAATTACTCACTATTCATAAACAAAGAGAAAATAAACAGGTGGATAGCAAAATAAACATGCGATTAAATTTTGCGCAGACAGGAAATACATTTCCCTTAAGGCCTTTTTTTTATTACAAAACAAAGGGGAGCTGACTGTCTGCCACTGTGACTACCGTTGACGTGACGTTATTTTGTGAGCATGCACACAACTGAAGCCCAGGGAAAAAAAGGAAAACCCAACACACGCACACGCTCGCCGCAACTGCACAGACACTCGCACACACTCGCTCACTGGGGATCAGATTAAATTAAGAACCTTAGGTGTAGCTGAGCCCGGCAGTCACAGCAGGAATCTACCAGTGTGTGCCAGAAAACACACACACATACACACACGCACGCACACAAACCCCCTCCTCTATATGTCTGCTCTGACACTCTCACTCTTACAAATAGTGTGTATTGAATCTGTGAGGCAGAACCAGCCTGATTAAGTCACAAAGTGTCCTGCTTTTGTTTTGTCTCTGATCCAGCCAGTACATGTATAAACTGGTGCTACTATAATGACACCCCAGCAGAACACCAGGTGTTTGTTTGGTGTGTGCATGTGTCGGGTGAATCCCCCCCACCCCACGGCTGCCTTCCACCCTCTGGACATGTTTGTGCAATGAGAGTAATATGGAATACGAGCCGTTTAAATTGCAGAGAGGGGTGCTGCAGTGCAGGCGAAAAGGCTTTGAAGAACCAACACGTGGAGACAGAGGACACAGATGTAGATAGATATACGGTGCAGCAGCACCCTGAAGCACACGTGAAGTGGGAGTTTCTGATACGAGCTAACGCCACCCACCCCCCCAGTTATCAGCTGACTGAGGATGACTAAAACCCAAAGCACTTCCCAACACTCTGGTGCACAAAACCAACATGAACTTGGGAGATTTCCTCGTCTGATTTCTTTGTTCGCTCCCTCATGAATAAATAAGAATCAGAAAGGAGGAGATTCTGATGCCGGTTCCTCGGCGGAGGAATTCCTAACTGGAAGGTCTTGTGTTACTGTTGACAGTACTTTGATGCCAGCTGTGGTACGGACGATTTTACGAATTGGTAACAAAGGAAAAAATAATTAAAAGGAAAAACCGTGGGCAGATCTGGGCATCAGGTGTTCTCTGTTTGCTTCTGAGAACAGGCACGAACATGACAGAGGGAATATTTGGGCGCAAGCGGTACAACACCAGTTTTGACACCAACCCTAATGAGCCTCAGGGCCATCGTATCTGAGCCTCATCTCCATGGCAACAGATGTAAGCGGCAAGGGAGGTTTCCTTTTGTGTATGTGTGTGTGTGTAGAGTAAAGAACCCAAATATCACACGGCATCACGCTACGTTTCCTCACTTCTGTCCAACACCCTGGAATAATGCAAACATCAATGGCAAGCGAGGCGTCACGTGCAGCAAATTTCACCACATGTTCATTTTAAATGGATTCTCCGAGCAGCGACATGACAGGGAGAACTCTGCAACCGGTCTGTGAGCTCATTAGAGGCATCTAATTGGAGCAGGGGTCCAGGATGGTGATTAAAGAGCAATGGCTGGTCTCGCTTCCACGGGGGAGGCAGAGGCAACAGACGGCTTCGGTTCTAGTTCAGATTCTTTGCCTCAAAAAAGCCAAAAGTTTCTCCTTCCTTATACCTGAGATCCGACTTCCTGCGGAGACATCACAGACAGCGAGACGTTTGCCAATTAACAGGAAATAATTACAAACATCTGCTTCTGAGGAGCTGAAAAACAAACATGCTGATTTTCAAATGAACCATATTTAGTGTGTGTGTGCGCTGAACATTTATCTGCTCTATGAAACATCATCTATAATAATAAAGACAACGACAAAACAAAGGCTCCATACACTGAGCAGGTAAACACTGACATTGCCTCTGTATCTGATCTCACTTAAGGTCTCAGCGAAGCAGCAAGGGAAGAGAAAGAAAAGGCTGGCGTCTTCATAAGACCAATCTTCAAAAGCTTCTTTATTATAATGTTGTGAAAAAGTCTTTTGACAAGCTCTGCATAAATATAAGACTGCACTGTATCCTATAGGGATCCCTGAGGCTTCTCCCTGTCAAGATCAACTGAAAGCTCGCTCTCACCACCTTCCCGCAGAGGTAATGAGTGGGAAGAGGTAACTTGAGTCATTGGGAGGTTTGGAAATCCTTGTTGCGATTATTTGTTTTAGGCTGTGTCATTGGTTAGCGGTGCCTATCCACGGATAAAGAGCTTCCTCAGACTAGTTACGTTCAAGGAAACAAGAAGAATTTGAATGTTTGCACCAAGGCTGTCTACTCATTGATCTTAATTTTATAATAACTAAATGAAATATATACTTAACCTTGTCTGTAAATGATCCTTTGAGAAGTTATTTCATGATTTATTTTGTTTTTCCAGGCATGTGGCGAAAGTCTTGGTCAGTTGTTCTTGAGTCTGAGCAGTTGTGTGCAAGTAAGATGGTGTTTTTCTGTTTTACAATGCATTTCATTTGCGATCACTGCAAATTATTGTGTTTGTGCAGGTTTCACAAATTCCAGCCTGTCAGGACATCGTGTCCACAGCTTTTCCAGGCAGAAATAGGCACTCTCTCATTCGTGCCTGGATTACTGCAGCATCAGTCCGTGACTTGTTTCCTCTTGTAATATGTTTAATTTCAGTGTCAATTCTAATAGTTGCAGCAGCCAATTCTTAAGGATTAAGATTTCATTAGTTAGTTAAATTTTAATCTTCACCGCTGAGCAGTCTTGTGTTTTGCCTTGACAATTCTGCTTTGTCAAACCCAAAGACACTGAAGAATTATAGGAAAAGTTAATCACAGGGAAACTGACGTGAAACATAAGCATGCAGCCTTTCAGCTCTGGAGAACTGTGTATACTGGGAGGAAATACAGGAAGATGAAACGCCATGATGTTAGTCCATCCTTCAAAACAATTCCATGAAGTCACCGTACAACTGGAGCACATATCACATGCTATCTGATATATTTACTTTAAAATAATGAATGGAAATGTAAAAACAAGCAAAGAGCAGTAAAACTAAGTTATCAGTGTCACAGATTATGTGCAAATATATAAAAACTTCAACAGTATGAGGTACTAGAATATTTAGTTTTTCATCTTATTATCCTTTCAAAACGATACATGGTCACAATAATGCACAGAACTGCAATACTTCCAGTTCCTTTATGATCTGATTGAGTATCTCGTCCTTTTGGAAAAGGCAGGAAGCTGCTGCCTTCAAACTTCTGCAGCATTCCAGTGTAGTTACTGTGCTGTGCAGTGGGCAACTGTGGTGCAATGATACATTCAGAGTGTGAATATCTGTGGCAAATAGAAACTCCAAGAATGTTGTAAAATGAACAATATGTTCATATTCAGTCCCACAAAAAATATTTTAATGATCACTTTTGCACAAACCTGTAATTTCTTTTTTTTGCATCACAAGCTCGAGAGAGAGGAGTGGAGGAAAATGCACGAGCATGAAGTTGGTACTGACTTATGCCTACAGACTCACCACAACATCCCAGGATTAATGAAATGTAAAAAATGTACTGTACATATTTGTGTGGTTGAAAAGTTGTGCAGCCCACAGCTGGCCAGAATATCCCCAAACCATTTTAATTGATCCTTTTACTCCGTACTGTCTTGTTTAGCATATTCTGGGATTTTTGCATGAATGCAAATGTCATCTCTGCCTCTGGAGAGCATAACCAGCCAAAATAAAATCATCTGATGTGCGTGTGCACTCTTTCTACAGCTCAAATTATCGGTGGCCATCTGACTCCCATCTGGGTCTGTTTGCACTAATTCTTCACACTGAGCTAGAGGGGGGGGGGACCCCTACAGTGCCTCTACTGTTGAGGGCCCATGAAGGGAATATAATACTGTCAAAATTTCAGAGAGCAGGAATGCCACCCACCAGTTAGACACCCCCTGGTGTTCACTTGAGAAAGTGTCCCTGGGGTTTGTTTAAATTTTGAGGCCTTAAAAAATCTGACATCTAACAAACACACACATACACACGGATTGTGTAGCTGGACCGAGCTTGAGGCAGTTTACCTCCAATGGTTCTCAGTTTGTGGAAAAGAACGAAGAAGTAGACCCTTAGAGCAGCAGGTCAATGTGAGGTCTCTGTTATCGGAGATCAATTAGCAAATGAGTGGATTTATTTGAGTGAAATCAAACTCTGTAAATGAAACCAGGACATATTTTCATTTCTTATTTCAGTTCCTATACATGTGAAACACAAAAAAAGTGTAGCCTCAAAATAATTTCACTTCTACCTATCACTTCTTGGCAGCAAGTGCACATCTTTGCAGTGAAAATACACGATTGTTTGAGTTTGGCTTGCTTTCACAACGTGCATTTGTTGAACACTCTACAAGGTTTTTATTCCAAAAACATGATTCAGCCTTGTGTGAAGCAGACTGTAGTGCTGCTCTCAATCTGCTGGTGTGCTACGGCCATGAAAAGTGTTGTGCTTGTGCCTCTGAAGCCGATACACTGGTACGTAACCTCGGTGGGATTACTGGCAGCATTGCCAAATAAGGCAAGAGCTCGCCGTCAGAGAGTCCGGCTGACGTCCTCAGACATGAAGCCCAGTAACTAGAAGGGTCAGACAGCCTGCAGAGCTCCAGATTCTCAGAACAGTGGAAAGTTGCTCAGCCACTCGTGAAGTCTGCTTTTTATCTCACTCTAGTTGGGCTAATGTTTGGCGGGGGATGGGCCGCAGGAGGAGAGAGCCATTAGGAGGAAGTGGTCGGAGGAAATAAGAGGTAGTGGGAGTGACGGGGGTAGTGGCTTTTAAGAAACCATTTTCTAAACATAGAGAGGAGTCAGTGAAATAACACCGAGGGCTGCGGCAGGGGAGTGAGAGGAAGAGATGGCAGTGAAATGTGTCGTTTCATTTTGACAGATCCACGTGATGGTTGAGAGTTGAAGTGACAATGATTATTTAGCCTGGCCGCTGAAAAAGCAGAGTGATTGATTCTTGCTCCTGAGAAAAGCAGGAAGAGAAATAGTTCGTCTACATCACATTCCTTTGGCCTGTGATGAAGTATAGTGAAATAATATTTTCGCAGAGCAGAGGCTGTCAGGTCTTCTAAAACAAATCGAGATGGACCAGAGTTTGGCTTCGAGGCTGGAACGTCTGTCTCGAGGGTGAAGTGAAGATGCGTAAAATGATTCACAGGGTCCAGCGCAGAGTTAGCAGCGAACTCAGAAACTCAGTGGGAGACCTGTAAAAAGGCCCGAGCTGCACCGGCGTGTTCAGCCTCTGATCTCACCGAGGGAATGACCACAAACAAGCTGCTGTATTTTCATTTTCATGCCTTTGTGTTGGCCGGGAATGAAAGCATCGCTTGTAGCTACAAACCCACACTTCTCTTTGCAGTCAACTCCAGCTTCAACAGCATATCCACTGTGGAACCAGCATGCCCTCGAGCAGCACTCTGCAGAACCCCCGACTGATATCAATCCTCTGCATCCAATAGGTTGAGGAGGAATGCATGTCAGAGGGTTGCAGTAATCTGATTACAAACAGTGTGAATGCATCATATCAGATCATGTAACTTTAGAGTAATCAGATTATTAATGCACTTGAAAGGTCTTTGAAGGAGGAATAACCATTTGCACATTTTCATAAAAATATGTATATCTCAAAAAGATTATGAGGCTGAACATGCTGACTTTATCTCAACATAAAATCAGAATAGCGATGATCCTTTCAATTTATAATATCTTTTAATATTACCTTTGCAAACACATCTTTGTAATCCCCCACCAGTCTGAGTGGGCCACTTCTCCGAGCAGTGTTACAATTTACTTTTAATTAATGATTTACATAGAGTATGGAAGATGAAGAGGAGGAGGGGGAGATGCGAAGGTGTGACAACACATGAAATATCTGCTGCGCAACTGCTAATTGCGCGTGTGGGAGGTCTCGTACCTTTGCGGCTCCGATTTGCTCCTTCCGAAATTTTTCCAGGGGCGTAATCAAAACATCATCTGCATTCTGAATCTGAAATGACAAAAAAAGGAAGTAGTACAGAGACAGAAGAGGTAAAGATGTGATCTGACTCGGTGTCAACTTCTGAATTATTCAAAAATACTGTTAGAGAGAATGAAAATATCACAAAAACCTCTAATCTTGTAATCAGTCACTCACGTTACAAAGCTCTTACTTTACAAATGTGCACATGGGAAATTTAGCGCGGAGAATTATCCCACCCAAGTCAAATACAGATGCATTGAGTCCAAATACAAGTGGAGAATGGAGCAATCACATCCATTAATATCTCTTAAAACTGGTGACAATGAACAATGCGTCACCGTGAGGTTCTAAAATGAGCACAGCGGAGATAAGCGACAGAGCACTCAACAATGGCCCTGCTAGATAGAAGAATATGAAGCCTTTTTATGTGAGCTGTGAAGCACCGGCGATGTCAAACCTCGCAGAAATATGACACCGCACAGCCGATGAGGAAGCTTTACAGCCGCAGCCTGCGATGCATTTAAATTTTGCAGGTTTGCACGTGTTGGTGACCTCGCCTGTGATCGTGACCAGAGTGAAAGGTCTCTGCTGCTGGAGGCTCTACCTCCTCCTCGCAGACAGAAACAGATATAGGCGAGATATATTGCACCAATTACAGTCGACGCCTGATCCTCGCAGGTGAGCATTTCGGAGAGGTGCCATTAAGGGGCTCCTGAATTTCCTGTGGATGGGTTTTCATCCAGCGAGATCAGATGACATCAGACTGGCGGGGGCCGCTCAACGGGAGGCGCTGTCACAAACGACACAGCTCTTAAGGTTGATTTAAGGTGTTTTTCTGTGTGGTGAGTGCATGTGATAAACTAAAGGCTGTGCTCTATAATACGGATATGATACCAGCTAATTTAGAGATGTCGGCTGAGATGGACCATCAGTTCCCCAGCTACACTCCTCTGAACACACACACATACACATCATCTCAGGAGTTTTTGTTTTGAACCATTAATCACTGCACATTTTCATTGTCCCAAAATAATCCTGACAGCTCCATCAACCAACCTGGATGAGCGACTTCAGAGAGGAAGCTTCAATCTCTGCAATCTTTCCCTTTACATGCAGCAAATGTGGGACGTTGTAAGATTGTGGTGTCAATTTATTTTTTAGAAAGTACTTTTATCCCAGCATGATATTTGGGCTTATTCAAAAGTTGTTTCACACTCGGAACTGTAACCCTGTTCAGATGGTGTTTATCACTATCTGTGTATGAATATGGATGACGTGACAACTTCCCAAATGGGACACAAAATCATCTGGATCGCCCCCTGGTGGCTGACTGTAATAGTGGTAAATAATTTTTTCTCTGGGATTCAAGATCAAGGCCTCTGTCTTTTTAAATATGTAGGTGTTGATTTGTGTTTGATTTGATTATTGGATTGATTAAAACGATACTGCAAAGGCTCTGGCTCCAAATGGCATCAAAGACACAAGATGGCAGTGCCTGTATCTGGGATATTTTGGCTTGTTTTGATAAAACTTGAGAGAGTGCAGATGCAGTGTCCATATTAATACATATGGTTGTTAACAAAACTTAAGTTAAAGCAAAGGTAAGCAATGGGCTACAATAATTTTGATATTAAGAACTAAAAAATTAATTGGGTTCATGAAAGAATTATCAATAATAAACAATAATTTACAGCCTTATTGTAAAAAGTGTTAACTGAACAAAACTACGTAGACTATTGGCCTTCCATGACACATGTCTACTCTACAAATCAAATTTTAGATCTGGTCAGGTGCTGCTAAATGATCTTCAATTTCAAGAATTGAAGATCATTTAGCTGTATGTTGTAAGAGCAAATAAGAATTCTTGAAAGATGACAATATTTGTGACGATTAGAGGTTATGTGTAAATTAGGAAGCGGCCAAATGTATTAACAGATGTAGACACAGCAGTGCAAACATTAAGTTGTTAGTTACATCTGAATTTATACAGAAATCAATCCACATTCAACATAAACACACATTTAAAGGCTGAGATAGATGGCATTTAAAAAGCAATAAAAAAAACTACTTCTGTGAGATAAACCAACACAATCTACTTACAAGTGACCTTCCATTAGGAGAGTAGAGGACATCTGATGGCCATCAAATCTAACTGTTACAATTCTGCAGTCATATCGAAGTCATTGCGTTATCTCTTGTGTCAACAGCGAGAATAATACTACTTTGTCAGCGTGATAATAACATTTCCTCTGTCTTATCTCCTCATGCTTTCAGTCTAATTGAGTCTGCAGTATTACCAGGCTTTAAATGTAGCTATTAAATTTCAGTTGATTGGACATTGAATAAGAGGTCTTATGTTTCTATGGGGTTCAACATTTAGATGCTGTACGACCCAAGTCAGACTTAAATTTACACCTTGACAAGGAATGAGAACAAATATATTTGTATTCATATTTTTCTGTAGTGACAATCAGTGCACATTCAAGCCATTATCAGCATTTGATTATTCATAATTTCCAATAAGCCGATTCAGATATTTATACTTTGCAAAGGGGCCAACTTATTTAAGACTCAATGGATTACTTTCAAACTGGCGTTGTGCCGAATGCCCTCAGCAACAGCCTCTCTCAACAGGATTAAATCCATATGAGCGAGCACAGTGTGATGCTTGAAAGGATGCAATAGCGCTAAGCAATTTCATTACTGGATAGGGGGAGGAATGTCAATGTGCTGTTTTTCCCCTGCCCCTGCTTTCGCTCGTTCCAAATATCAGGCGGATCAAAAGTGTTGCTCTGAGGTTAATTTGCAGAGACGGATCAGAATGCCACCAAGACCGGGCCAAATTGAACAGTGCAAAGTGTACCAACTGAAATTTCCCTTTGACACCTGTCAAAAAATATAAGTAGAATTTGTTTAAATGTGAAATTATCTGGAAACGCAACTAGTCCATTCTCCTTTATTCATCTATCTAGCCATTAAAACGTACCCTGAAGGATCTGACAACCTTTTCTGCAATTTCTCTCACAATTAGGATGCGTACATGAGCATAAATCCCACAGTCGCCTATAGATAACCATCCCCCAGGTCGGTTCTTGTTAGTACTGAGGTGAATCGTGTTGGATCATGAAACAATGCTGGACAAAACCATGAAGTCTATTCTGCAAGTTTTATGTATCATCGTGTTGCAGATCTATTGGAAGAGCGTATAGGTTGTTACTGTCATTCATTCATGGGAAATGGTGTGTGTGTGTGTACTTATATCAAAGTACAGCATTTGCTTGTGGGTTACAATCATTGGAGCATTTAACGGTGAATTGCTGACTCACTGGCTGCAGTATCTGGTAGTAAATAACCTTTATGGGATTTTTGCCCGCTCCGTTTTGACATCGTCTTCACAATGAAGAGCCGACTTAATGCACCTGAGGTCCTGCTTCTTCACTGCAAATCAACTGAAGTACTTTCTATATGAATACACACAAACATATAAACACACCAGTGCTGCCGTGGTTTGTCGGCTGTAGCGGTGTCATAAAAGCGCGGTCGTTCACTGTGCCGCACCATCATTCAGATGAAAAAGCTTCTTTTTTTTTTTTTGCTTGTTGTTAAGCAACTTCACGTCTACACACAGAATGTCCAGGCAAACTTGGCTCCAGGCTCAAAAGAAAGTTCTGGAGAAAAATAAAAAGGTAACAAGGCTTTGACGGGTCGGCCTCTGCTTGCCAGTTAAAATCTGCCAACTATGACAACCTAGCAAAAGCCTCTGACAGGAAAAGGTAGAGAAATCCCCTGAGATTATTGGGATCTGACCTAATACAGGCTGTTGGCCAGAACTGATTTGTTTTAGAGTTTGTTGTTAGTTTGTGCAAACATTGAGTGATTAAAGAAATGAGGACTAAGAAGATTAAAAAAAATAAAACACCAACATTTAGCCTCAGAGAGAAATCTACAGTTATACGTCTGACATTTAACAAGATAAGTATTTATTGATTGATTTGAATAAAAATAACCTCTGGTAAATAAAATTAATAGTTTGTCTCCAATGATACAGAAAAGGCCCCCATCATGATATTAATTATACTTTATATTAACTTTGTTTAAAAACGATTACATAGAAAACTCTTGTGTTCCCAAGTGTTATTAAATTTGGTTGACATATTCATATTTTGCCTTTATTGGTAGACCGGTAAAAATGGAATTGAGAGATGCTCAAGTAAGAAATGCAAAACATGTTCTTTGCTTAATACAATACAACACCAAGAATCACAACTCAACTACAAACCTCTAAGTGATAAAGACACAGGAAAGCACTTATATTATAAAGTAGGAAGGTTTCGTTAATCACTGATCTAGTAGAAACAATGCCAACTGAGTGTCAGTCAAGTCCTGCAGCTTCCTCCATAGTTGTACTGGCCATTAGGAAAACTGCGACAAATCCACAACATTGGTGGGTCTGCGGACCGTAAAAAAATCGATAAAGGTTTTACTGTCCCTCCGAAATGTCTTGCCCTGTGGCAGCGAGAACTTCACAGTGAAAACAAAGTTTATAGGAAACCAATCTAAACACAGATGGTGTCATTATTCGTCAGCCATTACACCATGCAGTCACCATTACGTCATAATCACTAGGTAGCAAAAAAGAAAAAAACCTGTCTGTCGCCACTTTAAACCAAGAACACCCCCACAAACCTCTTTTCACCTTGAAAGCATGCAGACTGAAAGCCGCCTTCATCCCGCCTTCATCCTTGTCATGTCATTACATTTCCCTCGTCCAACGATCAACTAAAGCCTATCAGATTGAAACGCAGCTGATCTGAAAGTACAATTGTGTCAATTTATTAAGTGTAAAAATTCCGGAGTGCGAAGTTGACACGTGTAATCAAAGTCTGTGCCAGCTCAGCTCAGGAGTGGGAAGTGTGTGTGTATTCCTCACATATAAAGGAGCCTGAGTGCCAGACATCTGCACCTCTTTGTCTTCAGTTGTATTACAGCTAATGATCGCCAGCAGCATCACATAAAATGATCAGCAA